CCAAACTAGCCATTTTTCTGCCGATGGCTTGTGCTGTAGACTTAGTAGCACGCAGCGCTAAGTCCGTAGCACTCCTCAGGTCCCGAAAAGTCTCCGGGTCCGGGCCAGCCTCGTCCATGGACCGAAGGAGTTTGGCCTGGTAGACCTGCAACACGGCCATCGTGTGCAGGGCCGATGCAGCCTGGACGGAAGCGGCGTACGCGCGTCGAGCGAGGGCCGAGGTGTTACGGCAGGGTTTGTTGGGATGAGCGGCTCTAGCTCGCCAGCTAGCTGCAGAGCTCAGGCAAAGATGAGCTGCCACGGCCTCTTCGAGGGGCGGCAAAGACTCATAACCCTTTTCCGCTGCGCCATCCACGGAGGAGAGCGTCGCGGAAACTGCGGATCCCACACGTGCTGAGTATGGAGCGCGCCAGGCCTTGGTTAGCTCCTCGTGGACCTCGGGGAAAAATGGCGCCGGTTTGTGATGCGGGGCCTGCTGGCGCCCCTCCAGAAACCATCCATCCAGCCGACTACGTGGCGGCTCCTCGGGCGAGGCCCACTCGAGGTCGAGGTCCGCGACGGCCTTCGTCAGGATTCGAAGCATCTCGGCGTCGGAGTTCGTCCTGGTCGCTAATCCACTGGCCACCGATTGAGAAGCGGTGACGGGGTCGAGAGAGCCCGGCCACTCGTCCTCAGAAGCGGCGATGGATAAGCTGTCGTCGCGCTCGAGAGATCCGCCGAAGGAGACGAGGCCCGCCACGTGTGAGGGGGGGCGCTGGTCTCCTGCGAACAGGACCGGTGATGGCGTTTGAGTCGGAGAAAGTGAAGCACGCGGGGACGCGGCCGGCGTGCGTTCACAAATCTCCATACCCTCCGGTTGCCGTTGGCTGCGACGCTTCTTCTTCCTTGGAATGGAAAGCGTGGATGAAGCGGCCTCGCCGTCCCGGGAGAGAGCTAGCCGATTGCGCAGCACGGAGATAGGCATGCTGTCGCAGGCCTCACATCCGCCGGCAGAGAGAGCATTCTCTGCGTGGTCGATCCCCAGGCAGGAAATGCAGCTCGTGTGCTGGTATGCCTCGTGCAGACGGCCTCCGCACGTGGCGCAGGATGGACAAGGCATGCTGAAAAGAATGTTAGCAATATAGAACAAAGGATATAAATGTCGCCGGATAGCCACAGGTGAGACGGCGTCAGGAGAAATCGACGTGCAGGCGAAGTCTGCTGAAGAGAAGCTCGCTCAGGCTGAAAGGCTTGTTCGACGGCGAATGCTACAGTAAAAAGCCGATATGACCCGATATGACCAAAATGTTATATCACGATATGAATCATTTTATTCCATGATAACAATATATACCATGATACAGTTATTTTTGCTTTAAATAAAGTTTTTATGATATAAAAATTTAATTGATCACCAATTTCAATCACATAAAAAACTAAATACTAGCTACTAAATACTAATACTAAAATACTCAAGCTCACTGAAGTAAACAGTCAGTGATAAAATAGGAACAAATACAATAATTAAAAGCAATAGACAAGACAAAAAAAACTACAATAGAACAAAGACACAAATGAAATAGAAATATAGCACTATAAATAAAAAAGACAGCGCACGCATATACCAAAATGAGTCGTCTTTTGCTGCTTTTTGCACTTAAACGGTTTTAAAGACCGCAAGACTTAAAGGGATAGTTCACCCAAAAATGTAAACTCTGTCAGTAATGACTCTCCCTCATGTTGTTCAACCCCGTAAGACTTTCGTTCATCTTCGGAACACAAATTAAGATATTTCTAATTAAATCTGAGAGCTGGATCCCTCCTCCATAGGCTTCTTAAGGGATCGAAACTGGCCGGCCCAAAAGTTATGAAAGACATCGTTAAAATAGTCCGAGTGACTACAGTGGCTCAACCTTAAGTTTATCAAGCGACGAGAATACTTTTTGTGCGCAAAAAACAAACAAAAATAACGACTTTATTCAACTACCGGTAATCATTTCCTTCTCTGTACGGCCGTGATATTTCACGTAGTGATATTGCGCAAAGCTTCTAGGTTGCACGTCACACGCAGGCTCACTATTGGCCGACGCTGGTCATGTGTGTGTGATGCGTGTGACGTACAACCCAGAAGCTTTGCGTAGTTTCACTACGTGAACTCACTCGAGGCCCACAGGGAAGGAAACGATTAGTTGAATAAAGTCGTTATTTTTGTTTGTTTTTTTGCGCAGAAAAAGTATTCTCGTCGCTTGATAAACTTAAGGTTGAGCCACTGTAGTCGCTCGGACTATTTTAACGATGTCTTTCATAACTTTTGGGCCGGCCAGTTTCGATCCCTTAAGAAGCCTATGGAGGAGTGATCCAGCTCTCAGATTTAATAAAAAATATCTTCTTTTGTGTTCTGAAGATGAACGAAAGTCTTACGGGGTTGAACAACATGAGGGAGAGTCATTACTGACAGAGTTTACATTTTTGGGTGAACTAACCCTTTAAAATCGCATTCAAAAGACAAGTTTTCTAGACGGCACAGAACGGCAAGGTCACGTGAGCGTAACCGCAATAGAGACGATAGTCCAAAATTTCCACCGGTTAATCGTGTCTACCGGAATATATCGCTCACCCCATTATAATGTTTTATCATCGCAAGTTGGAATGCTGTTTTCTTTGGTCATTTCAACAGAGTTACATATCTGAGAAAACCTCTACTTTATGGCAGGCAGACCCACATTCGCAGATTCGAATGAAATGTTCCTGTCCCTGCTGGAACATCCAGCTAAACTTCATTTACAGTGATGAACGATTTGGTTTTGCAGGGTCTTATATGGTCCAAGCTGGTAGATTGTGGTGGTTTTAATTAACCAGAAAACCAGTTTATTGGGCTGAGGTTGAGATCTTGATCATGCTGGTCAGAGATGATTGACTACTTTGACTAAACTGATGTAGACCTGTCTTGACCAGTTTGACCACCTTAAACTGTTTTGTTTTTTTTCAGCAGGAATGGCTGTTTTTTGGCTCAATGTGTGATATCTGTGAAACAATATCTGTGATAAATCCAAATTCTGAGAGTAAGCTGACCAAAATAGTCTCCAGTTTACTCTGGTTTTAAATAACGAATTCATTTTTTAAATCTCTTTTTTAATAAATTGTATCAGTTTTGTGGATCTAACCTATGGGTCTCATTCATGAAACATTCGTAAATATACGAGTAAATATGAGAGTGATTTGCGCGTAAAGAGACCTTACCGAAAACTCATCTCCTGATTCACAAATACTTCGTAAACGTCAGATGTGATAGTCAAATGTGTGTGTGTGTGTTAATGAATTCCAATCAGTCGTAAATGGGACGCGCGTGCACGCTCATTCTCAATTACCATAAATCCCGCCCATTAAATCCGACTGACAACTATATATGGGCATCATATTATGACACCAAACGAAGGATTTCAACATGTCTTCTCAAAAGCGAATGAAAAAGAAAAATTTCTCAGATGCAGAAATCGAAGTTTTATTATCAGAAGTTCATTCAAAACACCACATTTTATTTTCAAGTGTAGGCTACATAGTGGCGTATCAGGTCCTAAAAAAAAGCAAGCTTGGCAGCGTATTACAGATGCAGTTACTGGAGTTTCATCTGTTAATCAAACAGTCCCAGAAGTAAAAAGAAAAAACGTATGTAATTACTATATATAATATTTTTTCAAAATGCTGTGTAAATATGTACCCGATTAAGGGGAATTAAAATGCAGCCTTAGTTATTAATGAGCAAAACGTTCGGATGTTAAACTCACTATTTACGCGTGGCTGGGAGCAGGTGTAGATTTCTTTCCTACCAACTAACATTTGGAAAATACCAACATTTTAATGAATCCGAAAATTTACGCCAGAACCACTTTACACACGATTCACACAAAAATTCGTTCTGCTCGTGTTTCATGAAAGAGACCCAATGCGTTTAGCTTCTCGACTGTAGATCTGATGTAGTCTTTAGGAACAATGTAGTAATTTTCCTCATGTATTGAATGTAAATAGTCTTGACCAGTGTACATCTGAAGAATCTGCTTGACCTTAAGCTGGTACGATGGCAGTATTACTGGTATGGTATCAGAGCAGAATAACAGTTAGCGGGTTGCAGTTTTTGCAAAAGGAACATCTGTTTCTCATTGACTTTGTGCCGGGTCAGAGCTTTAGGGTACTATGAGCAGCATGATCCTGCATGCAGTATGAATATCTAACCCAGCCTTCTGCACGCTATATTCATGCTCTGGAATGACTGTTGATCCAGGTGCTTGTCATAGAGACAAGAAAAGCACAATTAGGTGCTTTAATCGAAGGCCAGGAGCATTCAAATCGTCTTCTCTGAACGAGCAGCTGATTAACAGATGTAAACACAGAGGCTGAGACAAACTAAGCGTGATGTCGCTCATCGCAAACACACTTTAAGTTAAATAGGAAATGCGTCTTTCCAATGTGTCATTATGTCAACGGTGTGTGCATGCTGTTTGCAATCAAGAAGTTAAATTTCCTTTGTTCTCATGGTTGCCTGTGATTCCCAGATTGCGCCATCTGTCTATCATCACTGACTTTAAAGTTTAAACAAGATCTTTTAGCCAAGGAATGTTGCTGGAAATGTGTTTCTCTTATTATAATTTTTTTTGTTGCTTTATTCTTACACATGTGCACCAATCATGCAAAATACACACCCTCTAGTCAAATCTGGCAGGAGAAACCCCTAATAATAAATCCTCCTGGCAACTGGGCTTCTAATATTCGAGAACTTGCCTTGACAGCTTACAGTGACTTGTATTACATGTTTAAGTTTAATAAAAAAAATAAAGAAGTTAACTAGCTGATGACAGCATTTCTCAGAGACCGCCTGCAGACATTCACCACCTTTTCAGTTTACGTTAGATGTCTGATACCAATAAATGCAACACTTTTTGTGTTAATTACATTCTTGAAAATGTCTTATAATTCTTGTGTATTTTTCTTGTAAATTCACCTTTGTCACTTTTGTTCCCTTCTAGACTGGGGTAGCTAATGAAGTGGTAAGTGTTTGTCTCACCACATTCATTTAGGACACTTATTAGTGACATTATTGTGACTAAAGCTGTCTGTGTGTGTGTGTGTGTGTTCCAACAGTGTCCTCTTTCCCCAAAATGCACTTGTGAGAAAGGAGATCGAGGACCCAGTGGACCCGCTGTAAGTGCCAAACTTTCTTTAACCCTTTCCAGCCCCTTACGTGATGTTTAAACACATGGATTTAATTTAAACTCAGAGATTTTATGTTTCTGTACATTTTTAATAAAGAGGAGAAACACCCACCAGATTGATTAAAGTGGCTGAACAAACAATAATTTTAACTGCTATGAAAAATTATCAAATAAATGGTTCAGCCAAATATTTCAATTCTGTAATTATTGTGATTGTGATTTAAAGGGTTAGTTCACCCAAAAATGAAAATGATGTCATTAATGACTCTCCCTCGTGTCGTCCCAAGCCCGTCAGACCTCCGTTCATCTTCAGAACACAGTTTAAGATATTTTAGATTTAGTCCGAGAGCTTTCTGTCCCTCCATTGTAAATGTATGTACGGTATACTGTCCTTGTCCAGAAAGGAAATAAAGACATCATCAAAGTAGTCCATGTGACATCAGTGGGTTAGTTAGAGTGTGTTGAAGCATCGAAAATACATTTTGGTCCAAAAATAACAAAAACTAGGACTTTATTCAGCATTGTATTGTCTTCCGGTTCTGTGTCTTAAGAAATAGTCTGACTGGTATCAAATTAAACCAATCTACGTTTTTATGTAACTGACTAAAAAAAAATGAATGAACAGTCTTCAAAAAAAACAATTGAATGACTAACTTATATGACTAGTCTTAGCGGTTTAAGCAAATCTAATGTAAGTTAACACTCTTTCTCTGAGAACCACAGGGTAAAAAGGGTCGTCCTGGAGACGATGGAAGTCCAGGAGCTAAAGGACAAAAGGTCAAAGTTGTCTTTAATCAACTCTCATATTTGTGAATTATTTACCCATGTTAACATCTAAAATGTGTTGAACGTCCTGCAGGGAGAGGGCGGTTTCAGTGGATCTCCTGGACGAGACGGGACAGAGGTGAACCTGGCTAGAACAAGGCCTAAATTCGCTCTAATTTGACATTATCTGCTTGTGTAATTGCTCTTTCTCACCATGTGTTCTGTACTGATCATTAGGGGAAACCCGGATACAAAGGAGAAAAGGTAAAAAGATGCATCACAGAAGAAAATCAGCTGATATTACAAAACAAATGTATGCTAGCAATGCCATTTCATAGGTTAGAAATCCAAGGAATGCATGAACTGATTAAAAAAAACGCATACCTTGAAATGCAACATGCAAAAAGTCACGTCAGCCAAATGCATAAATGTAAATATAAACAAATTTGCAATTGTTTGCAATTATTTGCAATCCTTAATGGTGCACTAAATCATTTTTCTGTTTATCTTGTGCTTTTAACTCTCTGTTAATATAGAAAAATAAATATACAGTTACTGTATACAATATGATTTAAACAAATGTGGAATTTAATTTGAGAAATTGTTTAAAATGCCTCGTTTGTCAGTCACTTAGGATTAACATGTTTGCTAACTAATGTAAAATGTGTTAAATCTAACTAAATGACAAAAAAACGTATTTTCCTTACCTGTCTGAAAAGCAAAACAAAGTAGTATTAGACAATTTATGTAGAATAAAGGCCACTGCGTCTTCATCTCATCTGAGTGTATATCATATTAAAGATGTCTGTCAAAAGTACTAAGTACATTTTTCTATAAGTTCAGAAAGTTACTTGGCATACCTTTAAATTGTATTGTGTGTGTATACACAAAGTGGTACTGACCATGAAACATATTTTTTAGGGAGAGCGAGGAGAGTGTGGAACACCAGGAGTCAAAGGAGACCGAGTGAGTGCCGCTTCAGCTCCACACTGCACTTCATGCACAATAACATGTCATTTTGACTGAATCTGGTTCTTTTAAGGGTCCGGACGGTCCTGTTGGTATCAGAGGAAGTCGAGGGCTGCAGGTATGTCTTTAAAACTGCATTTGTGAAAATGCAAACCAAGCATCTCTCTTACAGTAGTATTTTACCGTATTCAATCTGCAGGGTTCGCCCGGACCTAATGGAGACATTGGACCAGAGGGCCTAACGGGCAAAAAGGTGAGTTGGATTCAACAATCTCAGCTTTCAAATACAGTAAAGCAGCACTTTCCAGATAGCAGGTGGAAAAGTAGGAAATGTTTGGGACAACCTAATGCCATAAACATTCTTCCATGTTCATGCTAGCCTGGCAAGCCAGACCTACAACAGCTGTGGCTGAGTGAGTCCTGTGCGTTTTTCCACCAGCGGAGCTAGTTGATACATTACACTTTTGCCGTATCCGGTCGTCAAAACTCCGAACACATCTTCCTTTTTTAAGAATGACTTAAGTGACGTTCTCTTAAAGGAGTAGTTGACTTTTAAAAAAACTTTTGCTGATAATTTACTCACCCCCATGTCATCCAAGATGTCCATGTCTTTCTTTCTTCAGTCGAAAAGAAATTAAGGTTTTTGATGAAAACATTCCAGGATTTTTCTCCATATAATGCACTTTGCTGGGCACCAAACGGTCCAAGGTCCAAAAGACAGTTTCAGTGCAAACTGCAAACTGTTCAAAGGGCTTTAAACGATTCCAGACGATGAATAATGGTCTTATCAAGTGAAACGATCGGTCATTTCAAAAAAAAAAAAAAAAGTTTAAGTTTTATAAGCTCAAATGCTCTGTTCTGTGATGCGCGTTCGTGACTCTCCTGTTCGAACTCGTTCATCAAAATGAACAAATCTTTTTCCGAGTCAATTCGTTCATTTCGGTCGTTAAATGAATCAAATGACTCGAAAAAAGATTTGTTCATTTTGATGAACGAGTTCGAACAGGAGAGTCACGAACGCGCATCACAGAACAGAGCAAGGCGAGCATTTGAGCTTATAAAACTTAAACTTTGTTATTTTTTTTTTTTTAAATGACCGATCGTTTCGCTTGATAAGACCATTATTCATCGTCTGGAATCGTTTAAAGCCCTTTGAACAGTTTGCAGTTTGCACTGAAACTGTCTTTTGGACCTTGGAGCGTTTGGTGCCCAGCAAAGTGCATTATATGGAGAAAAATCCTGGAATGTTTTCATCAAAAACCTTAATTTCTTTTCGACTGAAGAAAGAAAGACATGGACATCTTGGATGACATGGGGGTGAGTAAATTGTCAGCAAAAGTTTTTTTAAAAGTGAACTACTCCTTTAACTCCAAGTCCTGCAGAGTCGCGGCCAAATCCGATTCGAAAGACCGCTGTTCGCCAGCAGCATCTTCTTCTTTGTTTTCAAGTAACGTTAGCAGGGAAATCACCCATGGAAATCATGCGGAACCGTCACATCTCTGCCGTCATTGTTAAGCCCGCCCACCAACTCTATACACGATGTGATTGGCCTGACTAGAGTTTGGTTTTTCCAGCTCGAAAAGCCAACGGAGAGTTGCTAGACCACACTTTGCTGCAAAATAATTTTTGCTGCCGCTAGGGTGCATCTAGATTTCTAGGCTATGTTCATGCATGATAACTTAAATCCTGTGTATGAGCTTGTAGGGTGCTGACACGAAAAAATTGACATTAAAACATATTTTTAATTTTTACTCTCAAAAAACTCTTCTAGTTCTCTGTGGTGCTGATATGCATCTGAGTGCTATAGGAGAACGCAGAGCTTAATTATTTTTCTGGAATGTTCTTTTTTTCCGTGTACTGATGGCTGTCATGTTTTAGCCGAGCAACAGATTAATGTCTGGACTTGCACACGCAGAATGCATGTGTGTGTAGCAGCACAGATCAGTATTTCTGTCTTTGACAGCTTAAGGTGTTCTGCCTAATGTGTGTGAACACAGTAATTGCAGTCTTTAGCTCAATGTGTCTGACATGAGCCATGTGTCTTCAAAGACTCCCATTGCATCTGCCCAGTGACAAATGCTGGCAGACTGTGTGTGCCTGATATAACAGTCATGAAATTATTTTTATAATGTCATGGTTATTGTTATTTCTCCATTTAATAGATGCTGATATTCAAAGCAGACACATTCCCTTAAGGTTAAGTCAAGTTTAAAGCAGCACGTGTTTATTTTGGTGCCCATATTAGCACAGGCTTGATGACAAGCACACTGACTGTATATTCAGTAAGTATGGCTGAATCCACTTCCCAGGGATCTGTTTCATGTTGATTATTTGCCATTTGGATTTGAATATGATCCCCCTCTTCACCCTCATGTCGCTGTAAAAACATAATGAGAAATATTGTGGTTACGTTGTTTTTCTAATATAACGGGTAGCAGAAGTGATCAGGGACGGTCAAGATGCAAACCCTTGTTGGCTGTAACAGATTTGATATAATTGATACCAAGCTGTGTATTTTGGGCTTGTTTAATATTATAAGTCCAGCATTTTAAATCTTTTTATTTGGGCTATTATTGGTATTTTGGTTGCAGAATTATTACTTAGTTACTTTTCTCTGGGACGCCCCGTCACAGGAAGGAAAGACTAAAACATTTGCTGTGTCCATGCCATGTCGTAATTACCATATTTTCGAGATACAACATGTGACGTTCAACTCTAAGCTGTTCTATGGCGACACAGTCAATGCCAACATCAATCTGCAGTGGTCATGTGGTACAGTGGTCACATGGTACAAGTCAGACCCTAGTTTAACTTGTCTTTACGAGTTCTATGAGGATGTGAATGCTTTTTATAAATTTGAATCTCGTGTTGACGGTAATAACATCATGGCGTAAACGCACCTATTAACAAATTCAATAGATTTTATCATATCGGCACGATAATATTTTTTATTGCCTTTCTTTAAACACATGATAATATCGTATCTGCAAGATCCAATATCGATAATTGTAATATTTTTAAAATTCGTATGTAGATAGACCAATTTCAATACATGCAGTCAAACCAGAAGTTATTCAGACATTATTTTTGATATTTTTTTACTAGTGGGTGCAGGACACTATATTTCATTTATGTACGTGAGCGACCTTTTTACACCAGAGACTGAACAAAATTAAGCATTGCTTGGTAATTGGTTGACCTAAATTGGTATTATCTAATTGTGTAGTTAAATTTAACAGCTGACAGATATTCAACATAATTCATCTGTGAGACAGTCTAACAGGAGAATGGACAAAACCAGTGAAATATAGATTGATTTGATAACTCTGAGTTCTTGTCATATTTTATTACCATTTTCTAAACAATAGCGAATAAACTGTGATAATGTGAGAAATGTTGAAGGTGTCTGAACCAGTTACACTGGTTTGCAGTTAAATGTCGGCCTCAGGTGGTTTAATTATGTAAAAGAATCTGATATACATTTATTCTGAGATTGTATCGGGTTGTTCTGTATAGACATATGGTAATAATTTAGTTTGTGCAGGTCTAAAAGAAGAAGAAAGCCCTGCAGAAACCCTTACCAGCATAAAACGAGTATTATTTTGCTCTAAACTAGTGTTGTCATGATACTGGAACTTCCAGCTTTGATACGATACCTTGAAAAAATTTGATTTTCGATACCAGAGGGAAAACTTCCATATACAGTGTGCCGTCATACAGATAATTTGTCATTATCTCATAAGTTTTTTAATGATTTGGGTAATTTGGCTGCAATAGCTTACACATAGATAAGTGAGTCTTCATTTGAATCGTTGATCTAAATTTACAAAAACAAAGACACACGTAAACAGTCAGTAATAGAATAAATAAACAAATTGCAAGTGATAGCACAAATAAACGCAATAGAATAAAGAGATACAAATGAAATAAACATGGCTTTAAGTTTTTCAGGTGGGTCTAACAGTGGTATTCAGGTAAGAAATACTACAGAAATAAGAGTAATCAAATATAAAATAACACTGGGATAGTTTTTATTGTCAAAATTTAATACAGATTAATGCTTTCAATTAAAGTTACAAAAGTGGTTTTCTCGTTGTCTTTTGTTCTTTGATTAACGTGACAGACAACAGCAGGTATAATAGGCTGCTGTCACTTTAAGGCTTAAGCGTAGCGATACTACAGAAAAGGAGTATTGGAACAGTTTCAGATATTTCATTATCGATATTTTTGACAAAATTGCTCTGAACTATTAATCATGGTCTAATCTGGTCTTTTCAGCGGAGAGCATTGCGTTCGCAGATTACACTTATATTGGATCTGTTGTAATTGTTCTGAATGGTTCTGCTTCTTCAGGGGGAGAGAGGCTTTCCTGGACCACCAGGAATACAGGGCGAGACTGGCACTGGGCTTCCTGGACCAAAGGTTGGCCTGAATTATATATAAAAACCTATGATATCTGGACCCCAATGTGGTCATAACGTGTGTTTTCTCAATCTGTAGGGTGATGTGGGGTTCCAAGGCAGAATGGGTCCTCCCGGGCCTCCTGGGCTCGGCGAGCCGGGTCTACCGGTAAAGATGTGCAATTTGTTAATGCTCACACTAGGGGGCGCAATCGACACTGAACACAGTATTAAACTCTACTATCATGTTCACCTCTACAGGGGCCACAGGGGTCGCAGGGTTTGCCTGGAGAGAAGGGCCCTACAGGAGAGGGTTTACCGGGGCCAAAGGTACACACATCATTGCACACAATTTTAAGTGTTTTCATCATTTTTCCGATTCAGAGTCATATCAAGGCCTTTTTTTTTTTTTTTTTATGCAAGCAGTGTCTTGTGTGCGTGGTTTATATCAGAGAACCTTTGAAATGCCTGAACCTTGACTTCATTTTATATTCCTGAGTGATCCAGCATCCTTTCATCAGTTTTTGCATGAAATAATGGAACATAATCAATCCTGCTGTTGTTTGACTCTGCGTGTGAAAAATGCAGGGTGTGTCAGATACTGTATATTCATGCATTTGGCAGATGCTTTTATATAGGGCTGCAACTAACGATTATTTTGATAATCGATTAATCGGACGATTATTTTTTCGATTAATTGATTAATCGGATAAAAAAATTCAATTAGATTTTTTGTTTATTATGACTAAATAAAATCCGTTTACACTTTATTTTAAGGTGTCCTTGTTACAGTGTAATTATATATTTAAGTACAGAGTAATATTAAGTAACTACATATACTTACTATAGGAATAGGGTAGGATTAGGTTGAGGGTTAGTTGCATGTAATTATGCACAATTTACTGTTATTACTAGAGTAAGTACATGTAACATATGTAACAAGGACACCGTAAAATAAAGTGTTACATAAAACCCTAAATTAGGATATTTATGTGTAAAAGTGTACTTTAAAAAGTGCAAAAGCCACACATTGAGTTTTACAAATATCAAAATTTGCATTGTTTTTAATGATAATTGCTGATGGCAAGTTGACAACCACTAATGTAAAAAACAAAAAAAACAAAAACATTGATATCCAACATATTGTTTTAACACAATTTTTGTTAAAACAAATTTACAGACATGTTGTTCAGATGTGAAGATATAAACTAAAAACATCTCAAATATATAATTCATTTAATTTTTATTAATAAAATTAATTGAATTATAAGGATAATTTGTAAAAAATAAATATAGAAAGACTGAAAACAAGCGTGTGAACATAGAGCCGCAGTAGATCGCGTTTGAAAAACAATTAAAACTTAATAGTAGACAAATGCTATATAAAGAGAAAGTTATGGAGGTACGCAGCAAGCTAACAGGCTTGATTAAAAAAGACAGGAAAAATGATGCATTAGTGCACAAACATTCGCTGAAAATCACTGAGTACAGTGACTAAAAAACAGTAATTTACTGCTGCTGTTATTAACTGCCTTTATATTTAGTGCTTCGCTTTGTAAAAAACGTTTTAATTTAATATTTCTGCGGTAGCACTATTTTAATCCATCACTTATGTTGCGAGCGAACTGATTGTGCAACTTGATGCTCGAGACGCAAAATACAGACATCCCAAGTCTCCCGGAAGTTCTGGAAGTCACCCGCATATTGATAGCGGCTCCCTGATGGTCGCAAATTAGTTCAAACTCCCGGGATTTGAGCGCGCAAGCAAGAGCGCGCATGCGAGACAGAAGAGACTGTGCTCCAAACCGTGTAGCGCGAGCGCGCGGCAGAGCAACGGAGGGAGAGAGACCTTGCGTGTGTGCCTCATGAAGCGCGTGTAAGACAGAGAGCATCCTGATTGGCCTGTTTCAACCAATCACCAGTAAACGCTCCCCGTGACGTAAGCAGACCAACTAATCGATAATGACATTCGTTGACAACGATTTTCATAATCGATTATTATCGATTTTATCGATTAGTTGTTGCAGCCCTACTTTTATACAAAGCGACTTACAGTGCATTTAGTGAGTGTTACCTTGGAATCAAACCCATGACTTTGGCTTTGTTATCGCTCCAGTTGAAGTGTGTTGGCACAGGGCAGAATGAGTGATTTTGACTAGTGGTGTAACCATTATTAACAACCAGAACATCTTAGCAACCACGTAGCAACTACTCGGATACCGTACAGTGATACGCTGATAGACAATTTGAACTCAGAAATTGCTGGTAAATTTCAGAAATAATAATTATTTGATGGTTTAAACATTTGTCTTTTACAGGGTGAGAGGGGTCTGGAGGGGCCGAAAGGACCCAGGGGACCAATAGGTCCTGGCATTAAAGGAGACAAGGTAAAACAAATAGATGGGTTTTCAATGACACATCGATGGCATCATTTTTATTTTTACGTGAACTATTCCTTTAATCACTTTCTCTCTCAACTCATATCTCATGCATGGGTTTACTGTAACCTAAAGCTGCTGATGCTAGAAGTTTAGTTTTCTTCAGAAAACACTGATGCAGATTCCTTTCTCAGTATTCATCCACATTTGAAATATTCTTAGCTCTAAAAAGTTTTTTTAATGTATTTGTAGGGGTGGGTGATATAACCAAAATCTTATTTCATAATATGGGAAATTTTACGATAATGATATACACTCACCTAAAGGATTATTAGGAACACCTGTTCAGTTTCTCATTAATGCAATTATCTAATCAACCAATCACATGGCAGTTGCTTCAATGCATTTAGGGGTGTGGTCCTGGTCAAGACAATCTCCTGAACTCCAAACTGAATGTCAGAATGGGAAAGAAAGGTGATTTAAGCAATTTTGAGCGTGGCATGGTTGTTGGTGCCAGACGGGCCGGTCTGAGTATTTCACAATCTGCTCAGTTACTGGGATTTTCACGCATAACCATTTCTAGGGTTTACAAAGAATGGTGTGAAAAGGGGAAAACATCGAGTATGCGGCAGTCCTGTGGGCGAAAATGCCTTGTTGATGCTAGAGGTCAGAGGAGAATGGGCCGACTGATTCAAGCTGATAGAAGAGCAACTTTGACTGAAATAACCACTCGTTACAACCGAGGTATGCAGCAAAGCATTTGTGAAGCCACAACACGCACAACCTTGAGGCGGATGGGCTACAACAGCAGAAGACCCCACCGGGTACCACTCATCTCCACTACAAATAGGAAAAAGAGGCTACAATTTGCAAGAGCTCACCAAAATTGGACAGTTGAAGACTGGAAAAATGTTGCCTGGTCTGATGAGTCTCGATTTCTGTTGAGACGTTCAGATGGTAGAGTCAGAATTTGGCGTAAACAGAATGAGAACATGGATCCATCATGCCTTGTTACCACTGTGCAGGCTGGTGGTGGTGGTGTAATGGTGTGGGGGATGTTTTCTGGGCACACTTTAGGCCCCTTAGTGCCAATTGGGCATCGTTTAAATGCCACGGCCTACCTGAGCATTGTTTCTGACCATGTCCATCCCTTTATGGCCACCATGCCCCCATCCTCTGATGGCTACTTCCAGCAGGATAATGCACCATGTCACAAAGCTCGAATCATTTCAAATTGGTTTCTTGAACATGACAATGAGTTCACTGTACTAAAATGGCCCCCACAGTCACCAGATCTCAACCCAATAGAGCATCTTTGGGATGTGGTGGAACGAGAGCTTCGTGCCCTGGATGTGCATCCCACAAATCTCCATCAACTGCAAGATGCTATCCTATCAATATGGGCCAACATTTCTAAAGAATGCTTTCAGCACCTTGTTGAATCAATGCCACGTAGAATTAAGGCAGTTCTGAAGGCGAAAGGGGGTCAAACACAGTATTAGTATGGTGTTCCTAATAATCCTTTAGGTGAGTGTATATCACAATATAGTTATTTTTATTTTGTTTTGGTTATTTAAATGCAATTTACAAACAATAAAAATTAAACAAATTAAGTTTTTCAGGTACAATAGATGCATTTAACATGCAGTTAGAAATAGTACAGAAAATGAATAATCAAATGTAAAAATAAAATACTGCATAGTCTTCACCGTATGAATTAAATATAAATTTATTCTTATTAAAGCTACAAAAGTGATTCAATCAAGAGCAGTGAGTGATTTTCTCTTGTTTGTTGAACATTAATGTCACAGAGCAGCAGGTATATTAGACTGCTGTCACTTTAAGACCGATTGCACAGATCCATATACTGATACACATCCGATTACTTTCACTTGAGATATAATCGGCTGTGTTTACATGAATACTCCACATAATGTGCATTTTCACATAATTCGTTCAGTTCTTTTTCACAGCATATTGCACTCTTTTTAACATCGAGGACGTCCCAAATTCGTGATCGCTTTCTGAGAGAGGCATCTTTCTATGCGCGCACTTTATCAGTGTGCCAGTCAGTTCTTTTTCACTACTAACATCTTTTTAACATCAAGTACATCCCGATCTTTATTGTCCCATTCATGCGTTTCATCACTAAAGTGTCAATAGGGCTGTGCTATTCCTATACTTTTTTTATACACCACGATATACACGATGTAGCGAAATCTCTAACGATAGACATTTTATGCCGTCGCCACGATATATTCCGTCATACCGCCCAGCTCTTCTTATTTGCTCAATTTGCATTATTGAAGCCCTCTCTGTGGATGTTTGGAGAAACATGTCACAGCATGCAGTGCAGTCAGTTCTCAGCCTGTGGCCAAGACATATGAATAATATCAATGTTGTATCTACTACACATTCCAAATCATTTTAATAACTAGATTGTACATGAGGTGATAAATTTACTTATGCGTGGCACTGACCATATTTATGTTTATTCCCTTCAGGGTGATTTTGGTCCTCCTGGGCTTCAAGGTCCAGTTGGGCTTCCTGGAGAAGGCATCCAAGGACAGAAGGTGCTGACAAACTTATGATCTGTGCATGATGGCATAAAAACGTTTTGTATATCCATAGCTAAGAATGCATTGATCATTTTTCACATGCTGATTGTTTTAGGGTGTGGAAGGACCACGTGGACCCCCGGGAAGCAGAGGCCCATCGGGTGAGGGCTACCCGGGATCGAAGGCAAGAGTGCTATTCCCATCATGCTATAAACACAGTCGCCAAACAGTATTAGGTCCTGGATAAACGTTATTTGATAACATGTGGTAACGTCTGTATGTTTGCAAATGTGCTCTTGAAGGGTGACCAAGGTTTACCAGGTGAGAGTGGCGCACCAGGAGAGAGAGGAGCAGGAGAATCGGGAGCTAAAGTACGTTTTCTTCACTTTACTATTAAATCTACAATCAACATGAAAACATTTGTTTTTTTATATGCACATTAATCAAATCAAACTTTATTTATAAAGCACTTTAAAACGACTGAAGTGGACCAAAGTGCTGTACAGAAGAATATACAAAAACAGTGTACAAAAACACAATACATAACTCATACAAAGCATAAACTACAATATAAAACAAATTAAGAAACAACACATATGAAAAAAACAAAAAACAGCCAAGCCTTAAAAAAGTAAAAATAAACAAAATATCAACTTCTGGTGTTAAAGGCCAAAGAAAAAAAAAAAGACATTGAAGACATTGATTAAAGGGGTCAAATAATGCCATTTTTGTACAAGCTAGTATGATTCTTTAGGGTCTAAATGAAAACTTTGTAATATACTTTAATTAAAAATTCTCATTAGTATTGTAAGAAAACACTTATTTTACCTGGTCAAAAACAGCTCTGTTTTTAGCACGCCGTTTCAGTGTATATGACTTTAAATGATAATGAGCTTTGCTGACTCCGCCTCTCTATTCTGCGCATACACCGTTTGTAGCACAATAACCATAACGCGTTGTTCATTATAAACGTGGGATTATGAATTATATTGAGAACATCGTACATAGAAAACATGCCATAATGTACCCTGAGTGTAAACCGACGCATTCATCGTGAAGCGTGCAAGCGATTTGCAAAGATTAATATTAATATAAAGTTTAATAAAACGTTACACTCACTTCAGTTCTTCTAGAGGTTCAGCAGGAACACGAATATCTGGTACCGATCCTTCATTCAGGAGCAGCTTCTTAGCAAAACCAGCTTTATACTGACCCTCGTTTATAAAGCAGTCTGCTGAGAAATGATTCGCGCAAACATGAGAGCATTGACGTTGCTCGTGGGGAATATTCCCTTCGAAAACAAACTCAGCCACTGCGTCTTCAGCGGTTCGGATTTAGGAACATTAAAATGACTGTGTTCGTTATTACACCCAAGAACAGAACACCACAATCGCTTAGACGCCATTCTGCTCATAGACAGTGCTCCAGCATATCAACAATGACCGCGCCGGTCCGCGCCGACTATGATTGACAGCTGGCTCACGAGCGAGGGCGGGTCTGTGTTGAAACGCTGCTGTCAATCAACAATCGTGGGAGGGGCTTCCGAGCGTGTGACGTCACACGGTCGAACGGCTCGATTTGAGGCAGGGGAAAACATATAAGGAGATTAAAACAAAAACACTGGATGGGTTTTTATCATCATATGATGGCTGTGTACAGGCACTGCCAACACACATTTCAGTACAATCAACTTGAAAAAGTCTGTGTATCATTATATGACCCCTTTAAAGAATGTAGTTGGCTTTTACAGTGTATATATGTGTATGCTGAACTCCTAATGATCCTGATTTTCAAGTATTGTCTATATCCATGTGTAGGGGGAACCTGGAGCTCCAGGGTTTTCAGGATTACCAGGATTACCTGGGGAAGATGGAGCTCCAGGACAGAAGGTACCAGTCTCACCTGAGTCAGGGAGACATTTACTTGCTCAGCATCAACACATCAGAAACAGACACTCATTGTTGTATCTCTGTTTGTATTTCAGGGAGAACCAGGAGCCTCTGGGTCGAGGGGCCCTGAAGGAGCCGCAGGAGTGGGCATCCAGGGTGAAAAAGTATCTCTTTCACTTTCCTCACATGTTTACCTTTCTTTTTTTAAATTAATTAAAAAAATTTTTTTTTTTTTTTTGGTATTTAACAAGACAACACATAATGATACATTCAATTAAAAATAAGAAATTACAGACTGCCTCAATTTAAACCCTTCCAGAACCCTCCCACGCACACAAAAAAATTAAATAAAAATAATAATTGAAAAGAAATTGATTAGAATAAACATTCCTCTCTTTAGTATTGGTCCTTCCTCTTCCCAGTAGCTGTCAATTATTGTGTAATATGTTTACCTTTCTAAAATCATCTTAACCCTATAAAGCCTACTGTATCATAATTAATGCGCACATTTCTAAGCCCTCTTAATTATCAGGATGATCAAAACTTTGCTGTAAAACCTAGTGTTGCACAAAATCTACTACATGTTTTCTGGCGTCTGATTGATAGTTCATACTTTTTTAGCAAATAAATAGGCCTTTTAGTGGACCGGTTATTGTGAAAATGTCCACCTTCAGGTTGTGGTTCACTTTTCTTTTTGCTGTGAAATCTTTGATATTGTTAGTAATGTTTCAAGATGAAAGCGTACTGGACTGGACTTTGGTTTAATTGATTATCTATACATCATTTTTTAGAAACATCATGGTGAAATTTGATTATCAAATATGATCTATCAGGCTTTTAATTATTTGTTTATTTGTTTATCATTGCATTGCATTATATGATTTGCCATCCACAATTAAAACTACAGAGCTTTGATCATAAAACTAAGCATTTAAATTATAATTTTACCGGGACATATTATTGGGAATATTGAATGACATCTGGTATTTATATGTATTTTAGGTAAGTAGTCTGCTAAACTGTTATAAAGATCATTATCATAATTTTATCTTACTTTTTTGGTCACATGCTATATGAGCCATAAAAGTTTGATGTATCAAATATGACACACAACAAAAAAAAAACTTTTTTTTTTTTTGTCTAAAGGTTCAACAAACTGTTTAATATGAACTTTTATTTAATGTGGTAGGCTTTACAGGGTTGAAGACCCCATGAAATGAAAATGATTGTGTGTTCTTGTTTCAGTATGGTGTTTTACTGTGAACTCCAGCTTGATGCTTATTGATGTAGTGTTTTGTTAATGTGATGTTGTGCAGGGTGATCAGGGTCAGCGGGGGGTCCGTGGGTTAGCAGGGCCATCAGGAATAGCTGGACCCTCAGGGTCAAAGGTGAGTGAGATCAGTGAATCTGGAATATTTTGTCTTTTGGTATATCATATCATACAAAATGAGTTTGAGGGTAAAAATACCTAAAATAATTTTCATTCTGTTTTTTATTAATGTCTCTGTAGGGAGAGCCTGGCACCCCTGGGCGACTGGGTTTACCTGGACTACCGGGACGTGCAATACCAGGACCAAAAGTAAACGCTTTTAAAAAGTTTTTGGGTATTTGCTAGGGCTGTAACGATACGCGATATAAAATCGAAATCGCGATGCTCAGGTCCACGATCCTGTATCGCGATGTGAGAAGGCAGAATCGCGATCACACCCCTTCCAACTCCCAGAGTTATCCTTCCTGTCCAGAACCAGGGCTCGAATTTCGGCGCGGGTATTGCGCATAATTCTAATCATTCCCGCAGGTCTCCCATTTATAATGCGGGAAATTCCCGCAATTGTAATCCACACAGATAATAAAATCAAATCATTCTTTTAACAACTATCTTCCAGACGCAATTTCACAAACAGCGTGAGTGTTCAGCGGTGCCGCGCGTCTTCAATCTCTTCTCATAATGTTTTGTGCAAGGCAGGCATCAAGCGCTGCGGCGATCATACACACTCGCGTTTTGGAGTCGGGACCATAGACTGTAAGGTCGGGACATGACGGAATATTCACTTGCACAATCGGGCCAGCAGTGCATCGTGACTGAAGTCTTTTTAAGTCTTACCAGTTTAAACATTCAAGCGATTTTAAACTAATCAGTGCTCGCGCGGTCTCTGAGATTATTTTCTATGCACACATTCATAGAAAATCCGCCTCAAAAACAGCTGGCTGGCTAGTAACTATTTTTCGCGGATTATATTGCTTTAACACGCAAAATTGTCAATTTCGGTCTTTGTGAGTAGGCTATACTCTAAATATAGTCGGTTTTGTCTTTAATAAGCATAAAACGCATGCAGTATAATGAACACAGGATCCGTGCACTAGCTCTTAAAGTGACGGCAGTCATATGTGTCTGTCATTAATTTTGTTGTCAAAACAACAAAAGATGGCTTTAAGTTAAAGGAATCAGGATTAATAGCCTATGTATTTAATTTATTCAGGACTAAAATACTACCCGGTGTTATTTTCCATTTTATTACTTTATTCAGTGTCTGTATATGAATAACGTTACTATTAGACCTATTCAAAAACTTTTCTCTTTAATTGTCTTTATTTGTATCTTTATTCTATTTTATTTATTTGTGCTACTTTTTTCAATTGAATTAAACAATTTAAATCAAGCTTCCTTGTGATGTGTAAATTCTTAACAACAATAGGCTATTACCCCATTGTAAAAATGCAATGAGCGTGAGCGCAAACATTTAGGCAAGATAAATGTAATAATTTTGTTTGGAAAATCTAAGGGGGGATCCCCCCCCCCCCAATTTTCCAAAACGAAATTCAGGCCCATGAGAACTACCACATCTTTAAATTACTATTAGTATTATTTGAAGTTAACATTATAAAATACGTAGACCTACACCACAAAACTAGTTGAGGATAAATGATTTAAAATTTGGCAATTTCAGCATTATGGACGTGAAATTTGCAGCCAAAACTTGAAATATAAATTCTCAGAAAGTGCATTAAATTAATCCTCAATTGACCGGCAACACGTCCAACATGCAGATGCATATCCTACGGCACCATCCTGAAATCAATTTAGTTGGAGTACAGAACATAGCCCAAAAGCAGCAGCCTACACTGCCTAGTATAGTATAATAATTTGCGTAGTTATTATTGTTCTTTGGTGTTTAGATTATACAGGTTTTTCCTAATGTTATTTAATAAAAATACCGGTATTTTTTTTCTTCTCTCAAAATCTCTTTTTTTCACCACAAGCCCCGCCCCCTCAAGCCCCGCCCCCGTGATAGAATCGCGATACGAATCGAATCGTGGGTCAAAAATCGTGATACGAATCGAATCGTGGGTTTGGTGTATCGTTACAGCCCTAGTATTTGCACTATAAAACAAAGAAAACTTACATTTAAAGTTACTTTCAGACTTTTGGACCCCACATATATATATATATATATATATATATATATATATACACACACACACACATATACAGAAAACCTATCAAATACACAGTATGTCGGGACATACCGAGCACCTCCTCCACCACCTATTGGCTATTTAAAATAGCCCATAGTGTTTTGTTTTAATCACAGCTCGGTATTTTATATATATATATATATATAGTGCATTTATGTGCCATTATATAGTGCATATGTGCCCTATACAGTGCATTATGTTCCATTCAAAATAGTAATTGTGTGAACAAGTGTCCGATTTTAGCCGCAGCTTCAGCGTCTATTTGTAGTGTAGGGGGGCGGGGCTTCAGATTCTAGAGAGCTGTTGATTGGACAGAAAATCTGATCAGAAGCTGAAGTGCAGACAGAGTGATGTCATCAAAATATTGGCGGAAGTGAGAGACTGTAAGTTTTGAATGCTTGTGCCTTCTAAATGCAAATTTTGTGATTGTTTTGGCGCTCACTAGCTTATAGATAACCGTACGGCCAAGATTTTCATACTAAAAGCCCCAAAAAACTTTTTGATATCTTGGGGACTTTAAAGTGCCCAATTATATCTGCTTTTTCGAATTTTACCTTTCATGTAGTGTGTAATTGAGCTGTTTGTGAATGTAAAAGGTCTGCAAAGTTTTAAAGATAAAAGTGCACGACGATTGTCTTCTAAAAGAAAGAATCGATTCTGAACTGCTGAAACGAGTCGTCATCAATTTCAGTTTCACTTCCTGTTACAAACCTTCGTAACAATGTAAAAAATTTGCATAATGCCAGCCTATGGTTTTCATTGGCTGCCCGCAAATAATGTCTACTTTGACCTTCAAAACTTTAGTTGTAGATGATGCTTTCAGCTGCGAATCCACTTTGCATGAACTTCAGAAGGATAATTGATATGGAAAAACCAACGGCATTGTTACTGTTCATATCACTGTGTATCAAGCTCTGAGGAAGCCTCCGGAGCTGAAATTCAGATATGGTAATTTTTTAGTTTAGTTTAATTTAGTTTCCAACACGCGCTGTAAGCGGTCGACCAATCATAGCAGATTGGGCTGTCTAACCAATCAGTGCAGACTCTCATAAAGGAGGGGTTTAGAGAGACAAAGGCCTCGTTTACACTGTGAGTGAAATGTGACCCAATTCCGATTTTTTACTCGTATGCGACACAGATCGGATGTGTTCTATGACAGTGTAAACAGGAAAAAAACGCATGCATTCGGATATTTCGAGATCGGTTTCAGGCATCGTTCATATGTGGAAATAAATCAGATGTAAATCGGATATGTGCCAATGCGACTGTCATGTAAACAGGCAGATCGGATTTTCCGAGGCATTAGGCTGCGTCTCCGCGGTTTAATGACGAGAGAAACCCCGACGCGCATCTGCGGATGGACGGATGGCCCGATGAAACAGTGTGTCGTCGTAGTAGAGGAATGTGGACACACGTTGACACAACATATCAAAGGTTGGCTTGCTCATCCTAAAATTTCGGACCCACTGCTCCTCGTTAAAGCCCGCCACGATCTCATGAAAGTGCGTTTATTGCACGATTTTTTTTCAAGTGCCATTTACGCCAAAAATAGTTTTTGCGTGCATGATACGCACTTTATGGCGTTTAATACGCACGTTTACAGTGCATATCATTTGCAAGCAAAAACTATTTTGGGCGTATAAATGGCATGAGAAATTAAAATTTGTGCTATAGATACTCACTTTTTATGAGATCATGTTGTATGTTCCCACCTGTCCTGAGATCTCGCTGCGCGTTCGTCCATCTGAGCAAGAAGACCCCTTTAAACATGCGCGATGTTTCAGTCAAGTGTAAACACATGACTCGGATATGGGTCACAATTTAAAGAACGTGTAAACGGACGGTAAAAAAAATCGGATATAGGCAACAAATCAGAATTGGGCATCAAGACCTGCAGTGTAAACATTTACATTTATTCATTTAGCTGACGCTTTTATCCAAAGCGACTTACAATTGCTATTAGGGGTGTAACGGTACATGTATTCGTATTGAACCGTTTCGGTTCGAGGCTTCCGGTTCGGTACGCATACAAACCGAACGATTCCTTGGACCATTTTTCTTGCCGACAAAATTTGCGCTGGCGCGACCACCACAACGTTGCGCAACATCAAATGGCAAACGTAATGAAAGCGGAACGAAACTGCGCTACTCATTATATTGTGCTTCACGGATCGTTTGACCAGCAACATCTGTGCAGCGCGAGCCCATCTCGATCAAGCGACACTGTTACAACACAGCGCTAAGAGATCCAGTAAAGAAAACATTTGAATTCGCCACTGAAGTAATAACACCACTGCGAGATCTAGTGAGAAGCATTCACATTTCTCCGTTATTAACCGTAGATCTCTAGATCAAACAGCGCTGACGTGGACACCAGGAGAAACATTGTGCCGTGAATGAACTAATACTTTACGTCCACAGACCAGCAACATTCACCATGGATTTAATATAGTAACACTAACTGTAACCAGTTTGGCTGGAATAGTGAACTGCTTTCAAGTACTTCACACATCTTTTTCCAGCTCTTCAAAACTCAAATAATATATAAATAAATATATATATATTTAAATGTTATTTTTAATGTGATGACCAAAACATTATTTGTTCATCCTTCAAAGATGACCCCCATTTATAAACCTGAAAGTTTCAAGATGTAGGAAAACTCAGTTATTTAAAAATATTTTTTTCTTTTAACAAATAAGAAATTTCTCTGGCATTTCTTTCTTTTTGCTGTATCGAAAACGTACCGAACCGTGACTTTAAAACCGAGGTACATACCGAACCGTGATTTTTGTGTACCGTTACACCCCTAATTGCTATATATGTCAGAGGTCACACACCTCTGGAGCAACTAGGGGTTAAGTGTCTTGCTCAGGGACACATTGGTGTCTCGCAGTGGATTCGAACCCGGGTCTCTCACACCAAAGACATGTGTCTTATCCACTGCGCCATCACCACCCCATCAAACGAGGTCTAACTTATTGATCAGACAGTTTTTAGACTCTTTGAGAAATGATGTGATGTGCAATGCATATTATGAGAAAATTAAAGTGTTTTTGACCTTGGATGCATGTGAATCTATTGTAGGAGACTCCAAACAAAAATTAGAAATCTTTAAAATAACATTATAATGTCTCATTGTAGGGTGACTCAGGCCCATCAGGTCCACCCGGGTTAGTAGGAGAGACAGGATATGGACTTCCTGGACCAAAGGTACATTTAATTGTTAAAATTGTAAAACAAAATGATGTCAGTTCTTGATCAAAATTCGTTTGTTTCTCAGGGTGATCGTGGTGACCCTGGTCCTCTTGGTCTCAGCGGCCCTAAAGGCGACGGCTATCCTGGACCCTCAGTACGTAAAACATCCACAAAATGACATGTTCATGGCATCATAGATAGAAATCTTCATTATTCAGCGTGAGGCTATATTTTGTTGTTGTTGTGTGTGTCATTTGTTTGTTGGCTTCCTTTTCAGGGGCCTCCCGGTCTTCCTGGTCTTCCAGGAGAACATGGTCAAGAGGGCATCGGGATACCAGGACCAAAGGTGGGTTTGCTATTATGTGTCACCCTAAAGCAGATCATATATATGAATATTATGGACATATAGTGTGTAAACACAGATATTTTATCGTGACCGTGTCTCAGGGTGATGTCGGCTTCAGAGGTTTACCGGGCCAACCTGGACCTCCAGGGGAAGGACTGCAAGGACCACCTGTACGTCATCAAGCACAGTCTGATAGTGATGATGTGTTAGCCCTTGTCAATCTCTCTCAGCCCTTCTTAGTCTTGATTTAACACATTGTTGCATTCGATCTTCTCCCATTGTGCCATCAGATTTCTAAATTGGATGGTTAAGATGCAGACGTTATAATTAAATGAGTAAAATTAATTTAAAATGTGAAAATATAAAATATAAATTCTATGTTAATGTAATATTTACACTACCATTAAAAAGTTTGGGTCAGTAAGATTTTTTTATTAAATAAATAATTGCCTTTATTAAGCAAGGACACATTAAATTGCATCAAAAGTGAAAATAAAGACATTAAAAAACAAAATCCTGAAATAATGTTAATATAAAGCATTAACTGTTTTCAACATTGATAATTATAAATGTTTTTAGAGTGATTTCTGAAGGATCATGTGACACTGAAGACTGGAGTAATGATGCTGAAAATTCAGCTTTGATCACAGGATATATATATATATATATATATATATATATATATATATATTCACATAGAAAAGACTTCTTTTAAATTGCAATAATAGTTTTTATTTTTAAATGCTGTTTTTACTGTATTTTTGATCAAATAAATTCAGCCTTGGTGAGCAGAAGAGACTTATTAAAAACATTAAAACAATATTATCAACCACCAATATTTGAGCTGTGTATAATTTATATTTTATAGTACAAAATATTAAAGTGCCATCTGCAAACAAATGTAAATGGTGCTTTTCTCATCAAAAAAAATAAAAAATCTAAATTTCTTTAAAATAAATGCCACTTACTTTGTTTTGTTATCTGATGCAATAATATTCAGACATCTTTTAAGTGTGTCTTAAGTATCTAAATACCTTTTTGGAGACACTGTATATGCCAAAGCACACGAATAAAAACTTTCTTTGGAATACATCCCATTCCTCAAAGGTTTCATCGATTACCACATCATCTTAACGCCACATTTATCATAGTACCGTATCCATGATCGTATATTCACAACCAGATACACACATGCACCTGCTTCAAATCTTTTACATATGTCCAACAAATCCAGATAATGTAATCCAGTAACATAAACGTCATTCCAGATGTCCGAGTTCTGCTTTTATCTCTGCATGAATGTGTTTTAACTTTTGTTTTATGCTGAATACTCTCTCTCAGGGCAACATGGGAAGACCAGGACCTCCTGGGCCAACTGGGCCACCAGGACAAGGCATACAGGGTCCAAAAGTGAGACACTGGCATACACACTTCATAAAGAGTTGAACACATATCTATATCTAAACCTAAGCGCACATCTTATATACTCTATAACAGGGAGATCAGGGGTCGCAGGGTGTAACCGGGCCAAGGGGACCTCTTGGAGAAGGAATGCCGGGGTCAAAGGTCTCAGGTTTTGTCATATAATCTATGTAACATGATTGAATATTCGTATATTGTAATGCGAGGTCCATTCGTGTTTCTCAGGGGGATCGTGGAGCTCAGGGTGAGAGAGGGATGAAGGGAGTTAAAGGTGACATGGGAGATTCTGGCGTTCCTGGACAAACAGTTAGTAAACTAACCTCGACGCTAACAGAATTTTAAGCAACACTAAGTAAGATTTTTTTACCTTAAAGGGATGGTTCACTTTGAAATTAATTTTTGGTATGTTTTAGCTTACCTCAAGGGCATCCAAGATGTAGGTGTCTTTGTTTCCGCAGAAGTTTCAATTTTGATATTTTTAGGTCAAACCGTTCTTGTCTGTCAGTCATATAATGCAGGTCTATGGTCACCGCCTCAAAGAGCATGCACAGAGAAGTCCAGATTAAACATGATTTAATGACTCGTAAATGTAAGTACACATTGATGGCCTAAGACACGAAACGAGCGGTTTGTGTGAGAAAACGAACAGTATTTATATCGTTTTTACCTCTTGTAAACACAGCCACGTCCAAGTGATCTGAGGGCGCGGGCGCTTCGGTCTGTGCAAGCGCTGGAAGTGATCTCTCGCGCGTGTACGTCACTCATTGTTTACACAGAACAGAGATTGTAGGTAAGACTGCTAATTAAAATGGTACTAATTTGCGCTTATCCGGGATGTTTAAACCGTCAGAAAAGAAAACAATTAAAAAAAATAAAACAATTGTATGAGTGACGTACACGCGCGAGAGAGATCACTTCCAGCGCTTGCGCAGACCGAAGCGCCGGCGCCCTCAGATCACTTGGACGTGGCTGTGTTTACAAGAGGTAAAAACGATATTAATACTGTTCGTTTTCTCACACAAACCGCTCATTTCGTGTCTTAGGCCATCAATGTGTACTTACATTTACGAGTCATTAAATCATGTTTAATTTGGACTTCTCTGTGCATGCTCTTTGAGGTGGTGACCATAGACCTGCATTATATGACTGACAGACAAGAACGGTTTGACCTGAAAATATCAAAATTGAAACTACTGCGGAAACAAAGACACCTACATCTTGGATGCCCTTGAGGTAAGCTAAAACATACCAAAAATTAATTTTAAAGTGAACTATCCCTTTAAAATAATGTTTCCAAAATGGTTCCAGTGGTTCATTAAGTCGTAACAGGGTGAAAGGCACTTCTGCATTCGCTTTGCGCTCCTATATCTGCTATAACCACGCTGTGTAAGATTGCGTTTCTGTAGTTCTAATGAGACATAAGAAAACTACAAATTTGACTTGCTTCACGTCAAGCGTTACAATAGTCATTATTTAGTTTTTCTTCGTTTCTGATGTCGCAATACATCATACTTTCACGAAATCATGCAACACACTCTAGCTCGTCTGTGGACATCATTCATTCCAAAGCCGGCGCTGGATAAACAGCGAGTGTGTGTGCGGAGCCCGTTCTCATCCCAAAGCGTAATATACTGACTCTTTTGCCAAAGCGTCTATATCCCACGCACGTGGCACCCTTTAGCGTCATATGAGACGCAGATATATGGCGCCTCCTAGTGGTCTAACCCTAACACTACCCCAGACCTAAACCTACCCAAAACCGAAGCGTGTTATATTGACGCTAAAGGGTGCCATATGCGTTGGATATAGACGCTTTGGCAAAAGAGTCAATATATTACGCTTTGGGATGAGAATGCGTTGGTGTGCGACAGTCGGCTGCGCTAGGCTAAATTATTTACCACAGCGGTAATGGACAATTCCACTTCCAACCTGTAGGGCGACCGCAGAGGAAAAGTTACTTGGTGTTGCTTTAAAATCGGTCATTACACTGTATGCATGAGTTTCTGTTTCATTTAGGATGCAGCCTAAATATAGTAGACTGCAAAGTAAGTCGTGGAACCGAGCCATATAGTCATCATTTATTATTTCAGCTGAGTAAAAGAGAGGCAAAATGATGTTTATAAAAATAAATCTCAGTAGTGTCATTAATTATAACTCACTTTTTTAGGGTAGACCAGGAATCAAAGGAGACTCTGGGCTAACGGTATGTCTTTCACATCATACTACAAAATTCAAAACACACTGTGCATATTTCACTCATTCAAATATGATGTTTGTTTTTAGAGGGACGACATCATCAGAATGATCAGGGAGATTTGTGGTATGTTGCATCCCACATTACACTTAATCGTCAACGTAATAGGCTTTATGTATCGGTCAAAAGTTTGAGGTCGGTAAGATTTTTTTTGGATGATTTTGAAAAAAAGATTCTTCTGCTCACCAAGGCTGCATTTATTTGATGAAAAATACAGTAAAACCTGAAATATTGTGAAACATTATTACAATGTTTCTATTTGAATCAGTCTTATTTTAGTTTATTAGTATTTTGAATTAGTGTTGTGTAAATTTTAATAGTCATTGATCCCTAACAGATATCATAAGAGAGAGAACCTATTCAATGTGTAAAATATATGTGTGTACGTGCTTGTGCGTGACGTTTCAGGAACATATGGGACAGAACAATTGACCTTAGGGACAGCCAGTTTTGGCCAGTTTATTTCAGTACCAGTTTGTGTCTTTAAGTAGAGACTAAACAGCAGTAAGGACCTTATCTGAGTGGGTGAAAGGTACAGCGGGTGAGGAGGAACCTTGAAAAGAGTATACAGACTGTCTCATGTCTTCCTGTTGGGTGTCACTCCTCTCGCACAGATTGAACTCCTGTGTGTTTGGGACTGAACCTATTCTTGCAAGAATAAATACTTCTCTTTTTATTAATTTGACTCTGAGTGTCTCTTACGCAGTGATGATGTTTAACAGAAGTTTTGCCACAACATTAGCTTGTAGTTTTTTTTTTTTTTTTATTGTTAATTTTGTTTTCTGGAAATACAAATGTGCTTTTGTCATTGTATACGTTTTTTTTTTAAATATTAATATTAGGTTAAATTTATTTTTATTTCAGTTTTAATTTAGTTTTAGTTTTCATTTATTTGCATTTAAAAATGTTAGTGCTTCAGAGTAAACTTATTTCAGTTTATTGCCAAAATGTCTAATTTTACTTTACTTTAAGTTTTTCAACTAATATTTATATATTTATTTCAGCTTTATTTCATTTCAATGTTTGTAATAGTTTTAGTTTTAGCTAATGATTTGAATATATTGAAAAATGTCATTTATTCCTGTGATCAAAGCTGAATGTTCAGCATCATTACTCCAGTCTTCAGTGTCACATGATCCTTCAGAAATCATTATAATATGATGATTTGCTGCTCAAGAAACATTTCTTATTATTATCAATGTTGAACATGTTGTTGTTGAAACTGTGATAACTTATTCAGGTTTCCTTACTAAACAGAAAGTTCAAAAGAACAGCATTTATTTGAAATCTAAATCTTTTGTAACATTATAAATGTCTTTAATGTCGCATTTGATCAAGTTAATGCATCCTTGCTCAATAAAAGTATTAATTTCTTTAAAACGTTTTACTGACCCCAAACTTTTAAATGGTATATAATATAGCCTAATTTTAGTCCAGTCTCACTGGTTTTAAGTTCATGAAATATACATGTCTTTCAGGCTGTGGAGTCAAATGTAAAGAGCGTCCTATGGAGCTGGTGTTTGTGATTGACAGCTCTGAGAGCGTTGGGCCTGAAAACTTTGAGATCATAAAGGACTTTGTGGCCGCACTAGTGGACAGACTCACCGTGGGACGTAATGCCACTCGAGTTGGCCTCGTTTGTTACAGCCTTGAGGTCCAGCTTGAGTTCAACCTCGCTCGCTACATGACCAAACAAGATGTTAAACAAGCCATACGCAGGGTTCCCTACATGGGCGAGGGCACGTACACCGGCTCTGCCATCCGCAAAGCAACTCACGAAGCGTTTTACAGCGCGAGGACGGGTGTGAGGAAGGTTGCCATTGTCATCACTGACGGGCAGACAGATAAACGTGAGCCTGTGAAGCTGGAGATCGCTGTTAGAGAGGCGCACGCAGCCAACATCGAGATGTACGCGCTGGGGATTGTTAACATTAGTGATCCGACACAGGAAGAGTTTCTCCAGGAGCTTAATCTCATTGCGTCGGACCCTGACACTGAGCACATGTACTACATAGACGACTTCAACACCCTGCCAGGTAATAGAGACAGCAAGCTTGAGGCTGAATGCCAGGTCACATACTTCAACTGTATGAAAGTACTTCTCTGGTGATGGTAACCCTTTGAATACTGTACGTATGGATGTGTGCAGTCTGCCGTCAATATGTGCATGATTTTTTTTTTCACATCTCTTTTTATTTTTACTTATGATTGTGTGTAAAAACGTCATAGGTAACACTTTATAATAACTACACGCTAATAATCATTAGTTAAGCATGAGTAAACAGTTAATTCATCATTCATAAAGCATTAATAGACATTAATAAGCAGTTTATAAATACAGCTATAAATGCTTTCTTCTTGATTTACAAGCATATCTATAATTTATTTAATAATTGTATTTTCATCCTTTATTAATGATCAATTTATTATTTCTAAATGAATAATTGCATTTTTTATAAACCAGTTACTTAAGAGTTTTCAGTGGTTCATAAGATCACTTAGAACGTGTAAGTAATTGATTAATAAACTATTTAAATGTACATTCATACATCTTATTATTCAGACATATAGTGATGGTTACTTAGTGTGTTAATAAATGCTTTATTAACATGTATTTATGCTGTAATTCAGGGTTAATTCGGGTAGTTATAAAGCATTTAATAGTGGTCAGTTAACTATGTTTGTGAGCTCATCTAAAGTGAGGACTATTCATGCCTTGTAAAGCATTTATAAAGGAGATTTAAAGGCTGTTAAATATTTCTATGTTCTGTATCACTGTGTTGTGTTTGTTACATTTTACTGTTTAGAAGATTGATGCGCCTTCAAATCTTCTTTATAAATGCTTTACAAGGCATGAATAGTCCTCACTTTAGATTAGCTCACAAAATAGTTAACTGACCACAACTAAATGCTTTATAACTACCTGTATTTACTACTTTTACTTACACTTTCTAAGTGATCTTATGAATGACTGACAACTCATGCTATACTTCATTTAGAAATTATTAATTGATCATTAACAAACTATGAAAATACAATTATTAAACGCATTATAGATTAGCTTATAAATCAAGAAAAAAGTGTTTATAGCTGTATTTATAAACTGCTTATTAATGTCTATTAATGCTTTATAAATGATGAACTAACTGTTTACTCATGCTTAACAAATGATTAATAGCATGCAGTTATTATAAAGTGTTACCAACAGGGACAATAGAGAGATCATGTGGTGCAGAATTATGCTAGAATCATTCATAGTTGTGTTTCATTACCGGTACATTATATATCATTATTATTAATTTTTAGATTTAAACACATACATTTAAAAATTGCTGCATGTTTACACTGTTAGCACACTGGGTTGTTGACATGGGGGAAAAAAGCATAGGAAAAAATGATAGGTGTACTTTTCTGACACCTCTAGCATACTATTTTCTATATATATATATATAATAATTTGTAATATAACAAAGATTTTTGGAGTATGTTTTACAGGAAAATATTATTTAATTCTTTATACTTTAACATTTCATGTTTAATTCAATGTGTTACTTGCCATTTTTGTAATTATTTATGAAATTTACTGACTGAAAATTATTTTAAATGAAATAATATATTTCCCATTTTCCCCCTCTTTTTAATTGTCCCTCACACAGCTCTGGAGTCCAAACTAGTCAATCAGCTCTGTGAGGATGAGAACGGAGCACTCATCTTCAGTCGCATTAATGGTTTTGAAAACGGATATGGAATTAATGGCAACCGCATCAATGGGAACGGCGGGTATAATTCTGGCACCAACATAAATGAAGGCAACAGAGAGAACAAGGGATCACAATCTGGGATGAACACTGTTACTCAAGAGCGCGGGAAGGGAGAAACGTTTGCTCTAACATTTGGTCCAGACATTAATGAGGTTAGTACACTGAAGATAATGAATGGATTTTTATATTTGTGCTCTAATTTTGTGTGTGTGTGTGTGTGTTCTCTTAGGAGGCTGAGCGTGTAACTGAGACACCAAACACTTCAGAGCAGAGCAGCGGTAGAGGAGATACTCCAACAATTACTGGGACATCCACAAATATCAGACCTTCATCAGGGACATCATCATCATCAACAACTGTGAACTCGTCATCATCCTCAGTGCTGTATATACCAGCGCCACGACCACCGTTACCTAGAGGTAAACACATGACACACTCACTAATACAATACCAAATACACATAAGTTTGGAGTCAGTAACATTTTTTATATATATCTTTTTTTCAGTTAATAATTTTATTCAGCAAGGATGCATTAAATTGGTCAAAAGTAACTGTAAAGACATTTATAATATTTCTAAATATTTCTATTTCAAATAAATGCTGTTCTTTGAACTTCTATTCATCAAGAAATCCTGAAAAAATGTATCACGGTTTACACACACACACACAAAAAAATATTACAGATGCCAAACATTTGTACGGAAGTGTATTGCATTCACTTGAAGAAAATAATCTATTCTGTTTTTCTGGATTAATGAGTTAATTATCTCAGAATTACAAGATAATTTTTCATGGATTTTTTTTTTTTTATCTGTTTTTCTGAATTAATGACTTGATTATCTCAAAAACTCAGAAATTCAGAAAAACAGTGCAAAAACTTTTTTCCATGAAAAATTATCTTGTAATTCTGAGATAATTAACTCGTTAATTCAGAAAAACAGAGCAAAACAAATTTTCTATAAAAAATTATCTTGTAATTCTGAGATAATTAACTCGTTAATTCAGAAAAACAGAGCAAAAACTTTTTTACCATGAAAAATTATCTTGTAATTCTGAGATAATTAACTCGTTAATTCAGAAAAACAGAGCAAAACAAATTTTCTATGAAAAATGATCTTGTAATTCTGAGATAATTAACTCGTTAAATCAGAAAAACAGAGCAAAAACTTTTTTCCATGAAAAATTATCTTGTAATTCTGAGATAATTAACTCGTTAATTCAGAAAAACAGAGCAAAAACTTTTTTCCATGAAAAATTATCTTGTAATTCTGAGATAATTAACTCATTAATTCAGAAAAGCAGAGTACATTTTTCTTTTTCAAGTGAATGCAATACGCTTCCGTACATTTGAAATTTGGTGTACATAAAAATACAAAGATATATTTTTCCCAAGACGGCAAATTCCTGATTTTGTAGTCACTCATTCATTACTTACTTACTTACTTAGGGCGAAATCCTATCGGAATTAAAACCTAAAAAAATTGCCATCTCTTCTTTGGACCATGCATTTAGTCACATTTATGGTGGCAGAGAGAGGTTAACGTGCAGCAACTAAAGAAAACACATGCATATAGAAAAAAACACCAGCTTTGTGAAGGGAACAAAAACATTGTTTGGAATTCGCCCAATAACAAAAGCAAGTGACATATTCTCAGACATTGCCCACCAGACAGGATCTGAAATGTAATCTTGCTAAACATTGTTTTTACATCTATGTCCAGAGTTTGTGTCTCTGGACCCCCGTTGTGAGCTGCTCCTGGATCAGGGCCCTTGTCGGGACTATAACATCCGATGGTACTACGACCGGCAGGCCAACGCCTGCGCACAGTTCTGGTATGGAGGCTGTGATGGGAACCGGAACCGCTTTGACACAGAAGAAGAGTGCAAGAGGACATGTGTGGTCGTGAGAGCAGGTAAAATGCACACCTGATAAGTAAATATTACAGCAAATGAAAAAGGACACCAGTTCCTGCCATTTAGTCACACTATTTTCTTTGCATTTAGGAGGCTGATATCAACTGTGGAGACATTTTCCTTTGTCTGTAATTCCTCACGACGGACCTGCACTGAAAAACCCAAAGCATAAACATGTTGTAGGAAAGAACATTTATTAAGGGACATTGTTATGCAACAGTAGCTCATCGAGAAAGCGTATCATTTCATATCACAACCAGCAGAACTGTGAATTTGCAATATTGTACACTGTTATAGTTAAACAACATTAATTGAATTGGCATTTACGTAATAAATGAAATGTGTTCTTGATTTTGAGAACTGTGTTGAAATGTTTTCAGTATCAGTGAAAGTTTTTTTTATCTCGTACTGTATGTACTTTTTGTAATAAAATATTTTGTACGTGGATAAATGGCTTGGCTGTTACACTGTCAACAAATTCAAAAGTTCTGTAATCCCATGTTCACTAAATGATGCTGTATTTAATTTTCCGCTCAAGGAGGATTTGTGCTCCTTTTTACAGAACTCTGTATTATAATAGATTTATAATGAGGAAACATGTGGTTCTCTTGTGGTTAGACACTGCCATCTTCTGGAAAGAAACCACATTGTGGTATTGTGATGTCCAAAGATGACTATAATACTTTAGACGTCTATCCGTTAGCATTCACATTCATCTCAATGGCAGTTGCATGGGATGCAGTCCTGACCTGCCATTTTTGTTCATGTGACTAATTGGAGTAAAGGGTTGGCGTCTTAGCATAATCCAGCTAGCTTCTTACTACTGTGCCCATACTACACCAATATGTTGGCAAAACCTCTTTCTTTGTTATCTTTGTTATCTTTTCACAAAAATGTATATGCATGAAAAATTTGGTTAAATATAGTTGGGCACCAAGATAATCAACCCAAAAATTCTAAGAAAGCAGCATCCAAAAAAAAACTTACCATAGCTAAAGTCTATCTGTCTTAAAGGTGCTATATGTAACTTTTCTTCTAAAATGAATCCTTTTTTATTGCCTCTGTGTGAAGGGGTTGTAATCACACATTACAATGATCCACTTGTCTGGTTTTGCTATTACCTCTGAAGGCCAGTATACCTATTTCTATGTGAAGTCTCCGGGTCGGATTTTCTGCGAAAGCCATCGGATGTGACGTGCACGCGCGCTCCCGAGCCTCTCTCCTTCTTATATACAGTCTATGCGATGGTACTGCAGCGAACGACATGAGTCTGATAACACCCAAACACGACCTGCCTCCAGCACAACACACACTCAACACAAACTCCACATAAATATACAAAACTAAACAAAAATGTATCTGCTGAAGCTCGTCAGGCCAAACGTGAATCGGATCGACTCAGGACGAAAACACGGATCAACATGTTCGAGCACGCGCGCTCTTGTAAAAATTGGTTTCAATCTGAAACATCACCGATAGAGGCCGCTAAAAAATACATATAGCACCTTTAAAATATTAGATTAGGCTGGTATATTAGGGTGTATTCACACCAGGAAAGTCCGATAGTTCACTTGCTTTGGTCCGGACCAAATAAATATTTTTTTTTTTTGGTACGGTTCGCTTTCACACTGCTCTTTTTGCAAGTGAACCAAAATTTGTAAACAAAACCACACGTGTGCTAAGGTCGTCCATTCATTGGACAAGGATTCTCAAGTAGGGAAATCAAGAAGGGCAAAAAAGGCTTAACGTAAATGAACGCAGCATCATCCTTGTATTGTAACTATCGTTACATTATATGAACTGCAAATGCTTTTTTTTGCATCTATGCGCGATTAGACTAAAGAGAACGCTCTGTATGTGAATGTCCTTATGCACACACTCATTCATTCATTCCATTCCAATGATGCACACACACGACGCGCAGAAAGACGCGCAACAGATGTAATGTAGTAGGCTACAACAGATCACTTTCCCATAACGCAACTCCGACTACGGAAGCCTTATAACTCAAAGGCGCAGTGCTTTCTTGCAATTGGGTCGGTTCATGTTCACACCGTAAACGAGCCGTACCAGAGTTCGTTTGGAAGCGTACCGAGACCACCTCTTCAGCTGGGTCTCGGTTCGGTTGTTTGGTCCGCACCCGAGTTCGATTGCTGTATTCACACCTGCCCAAAAGGTCCGCACCAAGGGTGGAAACGAACTAGAGTTCGATTCAATCGAACCAAACAAGGCCGGTGTGAATACACCCTTAGTCATGTATCTCTGTTATTGATATCTCCTCATGCTTTAACAGTCTCACACATCTGCCCCTTATGCTTTGACTTAAATTACACATGACTCCTTCCCCCAACACCTTTCTGTCTGTTTTAATTTTAGTAATAGTGTCTCTAGTCTGACTGCCGCTCTCCCCTGAGCCCTGAGATCTTAATTCCATTTGCTAGGTTTGGAAAAACATGGAGTCCAGTGTATTTGTGATTGTCAAGTTTACACATCCTTTTGAATGGCACCCATGTTCCAATGAAGTTCAATTGATCATTTTGAACTGTCTTTGTATTGACCCCAATTAACTAGGAAGTATTCATCTTTGTACCTTTAGGGGTACAACAGCTTGTCTCTGGGGCAGTACAACTTTGTAGCTTGTCTACCCCTAAAAGGTTCATATTAGTACCTTAGAGTAGTAATATGTACCTTTATGTTACTACTATAAAACTTGTAGGGGTAAATAAGGTACGAAGATGTCCTGTTTTGCACTTTTTTTCCAAGTATGACTAACTACACTAAGCATTTGTTCTCCTCCCAGGATCTGACGCATGTGTAATAAAGTTTGGGTGACTCGAGGCACCGAGTGTTTGAGGCAGCTGAAAATGGCTCATCACCTGTTGTAGTCGCAGCTGTCTCTAAACACTGCAAGCGAACCCTTCATTTATGTGAGGAATTGAACTCAAAGACTCTTGCACCGAATCTTCTAGACAAACTATAGAAGAATAGAATTGGATTGGTACAACTTGCAGACTCATAGGTCTCCTCAGATCTTTATGTGTGGCCCGTCCTGCCATGGCAGCTGGCGTCTTGGCTGTCCATCACATTGGGATCCCCTTCTTCACAACCAGGATTGAGGGATGACAGAGGCAGTGGGGGTGGACAAGAGCGGGAGGGTTATATTTAGAATGGCAGGATTAAATAACAACCCCTTCACCCTGGGAATCTTTTCAGCTCTCTGTCCTTTTCCAGCCCGGACGGTGTGGCGAGCAGACCTGCAGCCACTTTCTCCACTTCTTTCTTCTCTAGCCCTTCATTTCCCATCTTGAAACACAACAACATGGATCCCAAAGCCATAAAGGAGGAGCTGCGGCTGTTCCAGAGCACCTTATTGCAGGATGGACTGAAGGAACTTCTGAATGAGAACAAGTTTGTGGACTGCACTTTAAAAATCGGTGACCGCAGCTTTCCCTGCCATCGCCTGATCATGGCCGCCTGCAGCCCCTACTTCAGAGAGCTCTTCTTCTCCGAGGACGGCAAGGAGAAGGAGAGTGGCAAAGAAGTGGTTCTGGATGACGTCGATCCCACCATCATGGACATGGTCATCCAGTATCTGTATTCGGCTGAGATCGACTTGACGGACGACAACGTTCAGGAGATTTTTGCAGTGGCGAACCGTTTCCAGATTCCCTCAGTGTTTACAGTATGCGTGAACTACCTTCAGCAGAAGCTTTCGCTGTCCAATTGTCTAGCCGTTTTCCGGCTCGGCCTTGTCCTCAGCGTTCCCAGGCTCGCCATAGCGGCTCGCGATTTCATCGCTGACCGCTTCGAAACCGTGTCTGCCGAGGAGGAGTTCCTTCAACTGGCACCTCATGAGCTTTTGGCCCTGATTGGTGGAGACACGCTTAATGTGGAGAAAGAAGAAGTCGTGTTCGAGTCTGTGATGAAGTGGGTGCGCAGCGACAGGGCCAAGCGCGCCAAGAGTCTAGGAGAAGTTTTCGACTGCATCCGCTTCCGCTTGCTTCCGGAGAAGTACTTCCGGGAGAAGGTGGAGAACGATGACGTGATCAAGGCCGATCCTGAAGTCTTGAAGAAGCTGCAAGTCATCAAAGATGCCTTCGGAGGAAAACTCCCCGAGAAGAAACCCAAAGAGAAGAAGGAAGGAGAGGCCGGAGAAGAGGAAGAAGAGGAGCTGCTGCCGGGTTACTTGAATGATACTCGTAGGCTGGGGATGTACGGACGTGATCTAATCGTCATGATCAATGACACGGCTGTTGTTGCGTACGACGTGGCCGAGAATGAGTGTTTTCTGGCTGCCATGTCAGAGCAAGTGCCGAAGAACCATGTGAGTTTCTGCACCAAGAAGAACCAGCTCTTTGTCATCGGGGGCCTGTTCGTTGATGAAGAAAGCAAAGAGTCTCCACTGCAGTGCTACTTCTACCAGGTACAAATCAACTTTGAAAACTGGGTGTTGGTGTGATGGTAACCAGACTAGGTTTCTTAAACTAGCTTTACCTCCATAGTCTTTATGCTGGTCCACCAGCATTTATCCAGTCTGGACCAGCATGGAAATAGTCTTTAAACTAAATTAACTCTCATCTGCAAACTTAAATCAATTTCCAAGATACTTTTCTGGCATTTTTCTTTTTTTTTAAAGACCACAGTTTAGAGTTAGCTTGCGATAACGCTTTACAATAAGGTTCAGTTTGTTAACACTGGACATCATGAACCAACAATGATCAATACTTTTACGCATTTAGGTTACGTTATATTCTACATATACTAATACATTTTTATTATTTCAGGTTTTAAAAAAATAACATGAATGTTGTAAACCAATATGAATTACCTATGCATGTACCTATCAAGTCAAGGCAAATTTATTTGTATAACACTTTTCACAATACACATTATTTCACCTTTACAGTAAATCATGATGTTAATGTTTATAATATCTTGATCTCTTCATACCATATAGTCTCATTTAGCAAATTAGAGCTGAGCAATTTTCATTTTGTTACAACAAGCAATTGAGATTTTGAGATTGAAGTTGAGATTTGCTATACATCACCCTAACTTTATTCAAGAGCTGAGTGATAATATATAAACATGAAATATCTTAAATAATATGCATATGTAATCAATATTAGCCTATATTTTTAAATGAGCACGAACCTACGTTATTGTAAAAGTAATTGTTAATTGTTAGTTCATGATGTCTAATCTAATGTTAATGAGTTGAACCATAGTGAACCGAAGTGTTATGGAATTTATTTGTCATTTTAAAACTATTTTGTCCTATCCAGCTGGACAGTATCGCTGCTGATTGGAGGGCAATGCCACCAATGCCCAGCCCCCGATGCCTGTTCAGTCTGGGTGAATGTGAACACCTGCTGTTCGCCGTCGCCGGCAAAGACCTGCAGACCAACGAGTCCCTCGACTCAGTCATGTGTTATGACACTGAGTATGAATTCATCATAAATGTCCATAATTTTGTCTGTTTAACTGCTCTTCACACATGAGTGGGCTACTGGCTCAGGCGTGTGTCTTCAATGTTTCATTTCATTGCAGAAAGATGAAATGGAGCGAGACCAAGAAACTTCCTCTGCATATTCACGGCCATGCAGTTGTCTCACATAACAACCTGGTGTACTGCATTGGAGGAAAGACAGATGACAAGTAAGTGTGTGTGTGTGTGTGTGTGTGAATGAGATCATTGGTGCTCTCATTCACGCATATGGTGTAGTTCGCAGCTGTCTGTGCTCCATCAAAGTTCCTCAACAATCCTCTGTAGGCCTACAATGTGACACTTAAAGGCAGGGTAGGTAGCAAACATATGTAGAGCATATAACAACAAACCAAACATGAAAAAACGGAGCAGGTAGAGTTCACGGTGAACATAGGAACAAAGTTTGGGCAGAGGGTAAAGCTAGGTATAAAAATAGATCCCCTAAACTTTTTAACCTAAAGTTAGATTTGGCGAAATTAAACAAAACAGCTTTCAACTGCAGATAGGCCTATTGATTATTTATCGTCTCAACCCTGGCTCACTAACAGTAGCCATGTTTCCATCAGCTTGTCAATCGAATTATCTGAAGTTCGGTAAAAAAAACCTCATGCGAATAAAGCTGGTGAAAGTGTGTTTCCATCCAACGGCTTTAAAGGTGAACTAAGTAACTTTTTTACCTTAACCGAACAGCTTTGGAGTCATTGTAATGTTTATATTACTGATTTCGTGTTGAATGGTGGTCGTCTCGCACCCCCCTGGTGCCTGTGAGCCGCAAAACCACCCTTGCAACTTTGGGCCGGCAACCCCAAAAACGAATTGCTTTACGGCAAAAAAACAGATCTGATAAAATTCTGATAAAATGAGCATCAAACAGAAATAACCCGGCGCCGTATCCACCTTATTCCTGACGAGTTTACTGCGTTTTGAATTATGGGTGGCACTTCCGGTTTGGGGAACTTCCATTCAAAAAGGTTGAAACGAATCATTTCAAATCATAAGGTTGCCCTACAAATAAAGCTGATCCGTCAGATTGACTGGATGAGCTGTCAATTTTCCTTCATGATTTATTTTCAGACATCAAGAGAATAACGTTATACTTAGTATTTTAACGTGATGTTATATCAAGAATATCTATGGCAAGAGCTCTTTTCAGTCGCTGCTTTCTTTTCCTCATGATGGTTTTCTTTTTCCTTTGCAATCCGCTGTAAAAGTATGATAAAGGACAACATATACGGCACATCTGTGGTCTGTTCTCCCGAATTTAATTTACGATATTCCATGAATAATTCACTGGAATGCATGAAGAATCTTGTTATTCTCCTCAAATCCTCACGTCTCTTTCCAGGTTTGTTTTCACAGGTAATCGCAATTTATAATCTGTCAAAATGACGGTAATAACTTTAATATAGTGTCACGTAATGCTGAAGTTAATTAACATTTTTGTTATACAGATATATATTTGCCTACTACAGTGATATTTAACCAAAGACTCGCGCTTTTGGGGCTATTTTTGGTCTGTTGATTCTTTTAAACTTTTAAATTTCATTTTAATGTTCGATGGTTGAAGGGTGTCGATTAATGTCATCTCATTGTGACACTTTTTTAACGTATTGCGTTCATAGAGCTAGCCTTTCATTGATTGTTTACAGCTTAACGGAAGTTACACCCATAATTCACGCAAAGCATCATGGGGCGTAGGAATAAGGTGGATACATGTGGTGTTGGGGGCGCGCAGCTCTTAAAAGGGCCAAACCTTATTTCCACTCGTTAAACCCCTTCCATCCTACTGAACAGGTACCCGTGTACAGGGGGAGGGGATCCGGCCGTGAGTGCGAGCCATCTCTGCGTGAGTGCTATTCACGACAGTACAAGTGCTCCACAGCGACTCTAGGGGTCGCTGTTTGACAAAAACTGAATTCTTACTGAGTGCTGCTTTAAAGCGGATAAAAACCTGTGCGTAATGACGTCACATGCTGTTTTGCGATCAAATTGGTATATCGAATTGATCTGAGACATGTTAAGGTGTTTCCATTCATTTTCTCACCGAATTGCACAACATTCAAGCCAACATTTGCGAACAAAGTTTTACTAGGCAAAATGGATCGCACCATAATAACGTTTCCATCCGCGTTTATCGCATAAGCCGTATATCGATCAAGATAAAATCCGATGAGACCGAACGTATTTCATTTCCGAACGAGTCGATATTCATGCAATTCAATCGAATTTTACTGTTTCCATAACGCATTTTTCATTCGATATCACTTAATGCGGATAAAAACGTGTGGATGGAAACATAGCTACTAATGTTATAACAGTCGACACCAAAGTTACACTGTCATAGCTAAGCCAGTGTAACGTTAGTTATGCTACATAACGTTAGGTAGCTAACGTTATATTAGGTAGCTACGTGTGCTATACATGCTTCATGAAAAATACCATCAAAATGAAAACAGCAAGATTACCTGTCCAGCAGAAATACTTTTCAGTCACTTTTCGGCCCCTTGAGGTCGCCGATATTGACTCTCGTATGATTTCTTGATTTATCCAAAGACTTTTTGTTCATAGCCTTTTCAAATACTGTCTTCCTTTTTTAACTTGTTTGACTTCGCTGCCTTTATATGCAGGTACTGAGAATTTTTACTCTGCCATAATTGTTATTACTAGCTTCCGTGCCTCTTCAAACGGGCGCGCGCATTTGGGCTGCTCCTGTATCAGCAGAGGTGGTATCCATGGTAGCGAGGGAGAGTGACAGTCACCCCAGCCAATATTTTCTTTCGCCCCGAATGGAATAATGAGCTGTGTTTATTGCAGTCCTGAGAGGACTACAGTCACTCGATTTTTAGAATTTCTTTTCCAGATTACTTACATTTTAATTATGCATTGATATATAAAGACAGTTTAAACAAATTTGGAAAAAAGTATTTTTGGGGATTTCTACCTACCCTGCCTTTAAGGCAACAGACACTTCATTGGGTTTTGTCAGATCCGTTTTGTCAGAATCTGTCAACTCTCGTTTTCGCCGATTGAACATGTTGAATCTGCATTTGTCGGTCTTAGAATGTCTGAGAAGTGACGTACTGTAGTTGGTCTGTCAATGCAGTGTGAATTGGCCTTTAAAGCCCTCTTATCATGAGGAATCAATTTTGCGTTCATCTTCCTTCATGTAAATCAAATCTTCATCTTCAGTCCAAAAAAAGCATTTATTGACATTGAGCAGCTTAGACATTATTATTACTAAACACCTGAAGAACTAGTGTGAGTAAAAAGTAAAGCAAATTTGCCAAACCTGTACTGCTTCTCTGTGTGTAGCACCTACCGCTCTGCAGAACCTTCTGGAGAATTATTTCTGTAACATTGTAGGCCTATAAGTATATAATTAATAAAAAAGTCAGAAAGTCAGTTTGAGGCGAAGTTACTAATGATTACAAAACATATTTTTCTTTCAAATAATGTGCACCAATTAATTTTTACACAACATCACCAAGAATTTGTATTACAAATGTAAATACCAAGTTATGTCATGAAACTCTCGAGTAACTCAATCCGCCAGTGCCAGCAATCACATGATTCTCTGTCGGGCACAGCTGATTGGTTCCTGCTGTATCAGTAGCCAATGAGCTCGCTGTTTAACCTTTAAATACTTGGTCAGCATTTGCATCTGCAGTGTAGCAGATCTATTCTGCCAAGACCAAACATATCAACATTGTCATGACAGAAATAAAGTTAAGCTAACACAAATCAGTGCCCTGTAAATCCCTTTTGATGAAAATTTCTGAAAGTAAATAAATCTCTCTTGTCTCTCTCACAGCAAAGCTATCAATAAAATGTTCGTGTACAACCACAAGCAGTCTGAATGGCGAGAACTGGCTGCTATGAAGACGGGCAGAGCAATGTTTGGTGCCGTAGTTCATAAAGGAAAAATCATTGTAGCTGGCGGAGTGAATGAAGGAGGACTCATAGCTCTATCTGAAGCCTACGATTTTGGAACAAACAAGTATGATTCCACACTATTGTTATTTTAGTATTATTTATATACTTTTATAGTATTTCATTGGTTTTTGTTTATCTTTAAATGTGTTTATTTTGCTTGTCCTTCTTATTTGAATGAACTTCTGATTCCATATAGATCTCCCTACTCTCTTAGACATTCGCAACATCCTTTTTTCTTTGTTCCAAAAACTGTTAGTGTAGTTGGACGTAGGTCATTTCTGTATAAAGCCCCTTTTGACTGGAATAATCTTCCTGTTTCTCTGAGATCTATTACCTCTCTCAGTCGTTTTAGGTTATGTCTTTTCTCTTATCTTAAAATAACTTGTCTATGTTTCTGATTTTATTTTGATTTCTTGTATTTTTCTCTCTGTTGAGTTTCATTTGAGGATCTTTTTGCTGTTACTACGTGGCTCTATGCTGATGATGTATGATGATGAGATTTTGTACTGAAACTGTTTCGGGTGTGGGAAGTCCACACCACAAGAGTGTGGGAAGCAGGTTGAGCTTTTTTTTTTTTTTTTTTTTTTTTTTTTTTAATGTTGTTTTGTTTTATGTTGTCTGTGTTGTAAATTGCTTATGTTTTTAGGACCCCCTTGAAAATGAGATGTTACATCTCAAGGGGCTATCCTTTCAATAAATTCTACTATTTATTTTCATTTTAGGTTAAGTTTTAGTCATTTTGTTATGTGTTTTTGTCATTTTTATATGTTTCTACTTAGCTTTCATTTATTTTTATTTCAGTTCTAGTTTTCATGTTAGTACTTAAAATTAATTTCAGTTTTTCAACTACTATTTATATTTTATTTTTATTTCAGCTTCATTTCAATTAAGAATAGTTCTAGTTTTAGTTGACTATAAAGCACTGTTCCTCACTGCGAGTAGTTTACAGGTTTGCTTGCCATACGAAATGATAATATTTACCATTCTAGATGTTGTATTCTTGTGCTTAGCCATCTTTTTTTCATCTCTTTACTATTTCTGCATGTAAAAATCTATACAATGCATTAAATTAATTAATATAATTTGCTCTCAGGTGGGACACATTCACAGACTTCCCCCAAGAACGCAGCTCTGTGAATCTTGTGAGCACCGGAGGAAACCTCTTCGCAATTGGCGGCTTTGCTATTGTAGAGCTGGAAGACAAAAGCATCGGACCCTCCGAGGTCACTGACATTTGGCAGTAAGTCATCCTGATTTTGTGTCATCCAACCAATCAATCAATAAATAAACCAACTAATTAGTCAAGTTCCAAGAAAGAGCCCTGGAATAGAACTGGATGTCAACATATGAGTAAGTAGTTTCCTTCCTAAACGTGAATTATGTAAGATTTTTTACTGAAGACATTCAGCTTCAGTTACAGAAGTTTCCCTGCATTTAGACCGTCAAAGATTAAACATGTCAAAGAAAACGGGGCATTGTGATGCAACGCGCTATACCATCCAGCATCACGCACCCATTCAAAAAGACAAATGTACCAGTTTATAATGTTAACATTGACAAGTTTAAACAGCCTCAAACTATTGTGGTGCATGTAAAAAAAAACATGGTGCAGATACGTTGGATGGGTTTATTATAGTCAACACGCTCACGTTCACTTTAGACAAGAGTGTTAGTCTACTGAATTGCTTACATGACACATAGCAACACAGCTAAAAGTATTCCTACTTTTACCTGTTGAGACATGTCTTCACAAGCGCCCATAAGAGCTGTGTTTGTAATGTCTGAGTCGGGGAGGCGCGACAATATTCCGATAGACGCCATTAGTGTCGCATAAACGACATACTTCATATGTAAACAGCTATTGATACACACATGACACGCAGTGGTTAAAGTGGGATTTGGCAGGTGGGGGAACCCCACAGGAAAAAATGACTCACCGTGGGACAACATATTGAGCATTGTGGTATAGCAATACTTTTTGGTATAATTATCATCAAAAAACATTATTTCTCTGACCTACAAATGTGCAATTTAAGACTTTTGAAGGCCCAAAAAATGGATAATAAATAGCTTTAAAACCATCATTGGGCATTAGATTATTTTGTCAATACCTTCTTTCTCCTCATCTACATCTTTCTTTTTCTCTCAGTCTCCTTATCCTGGGCTATTTCTTCCCCTCCTAAAGCTGAACTTTGATTAATCTTTTCATTTTCGTCTGTGTCAGTGAAGAAAGTAAACATGGGCTTAACTGATATTTATATTTTATGAATCATTTTCTTAAACAAGTTAATTTACTCGGCTACCAGGTCAGTATTGCCAATAGGAACCTTCTACAAGCTTTTGGAATTTGAAAAGTAATTTTAAATAATACAAATTATAGGCTACGTGTAACGCAGTTGGTGGAATTGGCAGACGTTCCCTCATCATGCGCTGTGCAAACGCGTCAAAGCATTCTCAGGTATAAAGATGCACGTATGTGATTTTGAACGAATATTTCATGTCGATATACAATGGTTACATAATGTTAAAACTTATCCTGCTATTGATCTTTGTAAGACCCTATAGAACAGTGGCTAGGGACAACAAATGTCAGGCGAAATATACCGAACCTAAAACTAACTTTACCGCGCTCAACCACCGTGAGTGAATTTCAGATTTGTAATCGCTCGCGTTCAGCGGGGAGGAAGGGAAGTTGGTCGGTCGGTCGGCCCAGCTCGGGACCAGCGAAATTCGTTGAGATTAATGAATCTATTTATTTATTTATCTGAGGTGCCGGAACGCAGTTCCGGACCGTTCCGGCCCACTTTAACCCCTGATGACACGTGCTTTGACCTGCTTTCTTTCACAGGTATGAAGATGACAAAAAGACATGGAGTGGCATGCTGAGAGAGATGCGCTACGCCTCTGGCTCCTCTTGCGTTGGCATGCGTCTGAATGCGGCCAGGATGCCCAAACTCTAAATGAAACCCCTCTTTTAAAGTGTGACTCCATATGGTCATGTGACCTTTGACCTCAGCACACAGCTGTGATCATTTAAGCGTAGTCTAAAATGAGAAACCAATGGAACTAAAAGTGCAAAAAAGCTTTTTGGGTTCTCTATAAGTATTTTTTCTTTTACATTTTAGATTTAACAGTTAATGTGAAATGAATGTGTATGTGTGTGAACAAGTCATTTTTCATTTAATGCCATGACAGCTAGAACAGGTGCGCGCCTATTTCTGTGTTGTTATTATACTGTAATAAAAATAAAAACTCTAGTATTCTACTTCAATACTAGTAGGTTACTATATGTATATGCATTTTATTTTGTAAAATAAACATTTTTAAACCATATCAACTAACTTGTGGTGTTTTTCTAGCACAGTTGATTTCCCTGATAATTGCAAAAATGGTTAGTCACATTGTTTTTACAGCAACAAATTTGTATTATTTATGGTTCATTGACTTTTTAGTTTTCATATATTACACTGCTTTTGTGAAGTTGAACTAGATACTATTTCTTTCAGTACTTAGACTGGGTGACCGGGATCGACGGCTGTGGTTTGGACTTCGGTATAGAAGCACAAAGATTTGGTTCCATTGCCAAAATGACTCACTGTGAGAAAGAATCATAAAAAAAGTTTTGAAATGAACATACAGAAGATAAACACAAAAAGAAATAGGGTTTAACGTCTCACTTGACGCAAAGCAGTGTTTGCTGTCAAAGCATCAGGAGAAACATCTGACATCTTCAGGTGGGACAAACATGTCCATCAGACTCCAGCAAACACGTTCTGATGCCTGAGACCAGAAGATGGTGTTGGTTTAGTCAAAGTTTGTTTCTGTCTGGTGTTTGCTTGAAGACCTTCATCGCTTCACTGATGAATGTCAGAATCATGAGCATGAGATTTGTGAGAGATATGTCACAAATATTTAAAACCCGGTCAATGTCTGAACACTCACCTGCTGGAATAATAACACTAGACTAGACTGGTACATCACAGCTTTTATTTTGTCCTCCTCTGATGGATTTGCCTCAGCCAGATTATCAGTCTGTTTCACAGGCATTTGCATGTTTTAATGTTTATCACTGATATGCTGAAGAGACACAAACCTCCTGGAAGAAGCTGCTTCTGCATGAGATTTCTGCTCAGTTTCAACTTCACTTTACATTGTTTTTTTTTTCATCTTCTGCATAAAACTTATTTTATATATGAAATTTTGTCTAACAATACATTTACATTTAATCATTTATCAGACACTTTGATCCAAAGTGACTTATAAATGAGGAGAGCAATAGAACTACTGTAGGGCAACAATATGCAAACTACTGTGACCAATCCCAGTTAGTCTATCACAGTACACGTAGCAAGTTATTTATTGATTGTTTAAATAGACGTAGAATAGTAAGTGTTAGTATTAATGGGTCAAGCGTTGCCGAAAGAGATGCGTCTTCAGCAGTTTCTTGAAGTCGGGACGGGAGGTCATTCCACCAGCAGGTAAAGGTCTGTGAAAGTGATTTTGTGCCTCTTTGGGCTGATGGCACCACAAGGTGCTGTTCACATGCAGAACGCAAGCTTCTGGAGGGCACATAGGTCTGGAGTAGGCCTAATGTGTTTAGATATAGGGGTGCAGAGCCAGTGGTTGTTCTGTAGGAAAACATCAGTGCCTTGAATTTGATGCGAGCAGCGATTGGCAACCAGTGCAAGTTTATGAAGAGAGTGCTCTCTTTGGCTCGATAAAGACACTCTTGCTGCAGCATTCTGGATCAGTTGCAGAGGTTTGACAGTGCATGCTGGAAGGCCTGCCAAGACAGCATTACAATACGTACGTTTCCAGTGAAAAGGGTAAAGAATCACCAATCTGCTGGTGAAATAAACAACACAGAGACATGAACGGAAACCAAATCTAAATTAACACGCATGGTCTTGAGCGTCAGGGAATTAATAAGAGTTTTAGTGTAGAACATACAGCAAAAGAAGATGTTTTGAAGAATATGGGTGACCAACCATTTTCTGGTTCCCATTGACTTCCATAGTATTTGTTTTCTATACTATGGAAGTCAATATATGTGACCCATCAAAATATCTTCTTTTGTATTCAGCAGAAGAAAGAACTTCATTCAGGTTTGGATCAACTTGAGGGTGGGTAAAGTAAAGTTTTTTGGGGTGAAATATCCATTCAAGCAAAACTGCAAACCGCATGTGATTTTTGTCCGCATCAAGCTTCCATAGTCTCCAGTTGAGGCTGTTCATCTTTTTACCCAGAGTGCTCTGCTAGTCGTCACGGCGCCATTTTTCCAGACCTGCGCGCTGAGGACACGAGAACGACAGTCAATGTTGTTTATATTCTCTTCATTTTAGTGTAACCGGTTTAACTTGGATCAAACATGTAAGTTAAACTCCGAGTTTACTAGTAAAAAGGGAAGAACGAAATGGAAATATTAAAATACGCAATAATGGACACATATAGCATGTTAGCATGCTAATCATTCAATCATTAACAGGTTTAATGTTACGATTTTATTGCTGGTAAAAGCAAACCGTTCTGATTATACACTTCACAAGTCTAAATTAGATTATAATGCAGTTTAAACAATGTGATACACTAGATAGATAGGGGCTGGTGATTTCAGTTAATGTGTATTTATTAGCTTATCTGTGCCAGGCTAGGACAACATGCAGCATGACGAAAAATAAAGGTTTTAATGATGATTTATTCAAAAAGTTATTTAGAAAATCAAAACCGTCATAAACTCATGTAGAAGTGATCTTTTTGTCGTGTTCAGAGCCGTAATGTGTGTTATTCTGCTGAGAGTGAAAGTGGTTACATTGACATATACGGTCAGTTACTTCATTAATACGCTAGAGTAGGCAAAAACTAAAGATATGTAGCAATAATAAATTCCAGTGTTCTCTATGGACAGGTTTCAAAATCTGTCATAGACATATCCATGTTATAATACACTACTAAATCAAAAGATTCAAGTGCACGCACTTTATGGGAGTACATTAGTTTGTGTAAGAGTTTGTTACACTGGTGAAACAAGTTTGTGGTGTTGCATTGAGTCTGTAAGCACAGATCTGTTATTGGAACTACAGTTTGATGTGTGTTTTGTGTTTGCAGCGTGATGGGGGTGAAGGCGCAGCGTCCTCGCTGCTTCTTTGACGTTGGCATCAGTAATGTGCCAGGTAAGACTCAATATGCACTTTGTAGTAAGACAGCTGCTCTTTAATTTCTGAAAATGTGGGATTTATTTCCCTGTGATCTTTCTCTCTCCGTTTTCCTTTCTACAGCGGGGCGAGTCGTCATCGAGCTTTTCTCTGAGGCGTGTCCCAAGACATGTGAAAACTTCCGCTGCCTGTGCACAGGTAAAAAAATACAAGCAGTTTTGTTTTATAAAACTGGAAATCTGTCTCTTAATTTCACATTTTTTAAATGTTATCAGTTTTATATATATATATCTTCTTATATATTTACTATGAAATTAAAGGAAAGGTAATTTTTTGGTGAGAGGAACTATTATTTCAACAATACAGACAATTGGTCAATTACTTTTTGCCTACTGTTTTATGGGCACTATGAATTCAAACACTTTTAACTATATAATAGGGAAGTATGTGATTTCGGATAAAGCCCAAGTCTTGCACTGTCCTGGGATGCGTTTCCCAAAAGCATCGTGAGCCCAAATGAATCGTGGAGACCCTTGCCAGTGCCACTAATGTTCTCGACGATCAACTTAGCTCATTTTACTTTTGAGAAACACCCCCCGTGTCTGTATTTATGCATTGTGAGGGTTTTCTTCTCCAGGCGAGAAAGGAATTGGCAAGACCACCCAAAAACCTTTGCACTATAAAGGAAGTCTGTTCCATAGGATAGTGAAGGACTTCATGATACAAGGAGGAGACTTCACTGAAGGTACCACTGTCTTGCTTTTTTCTGTTGTATTGTGTTTACCCTGTGTGTGTGTGTGTGACGTTTGACAGACATGTTTGCCTTAACAGGGAATGGCAGAGGTGGAGAATCTATATATGGAGGATTCTTTGAAGGTGAGTGACCTTAAGATTTTACTTATCAATATTAATAACAACACTGGGGTCTATATTCTGCCATTTTTCTTTTTCTAGATGAAAGCTTCACAACGAAACATACCAAGGAGTTCCTTCTGTCAATGGCGAACCGAGGGAAAGACACCAACGGCTCACAGTTCTTTATGTGAGTCCAACACACAGGCTTCTTCAGGCGTCCCTACTCTCCTCTTGGATAATGGATGATAATCTGCAACTATTGCTTTCTTTTTTTGCAGCCTTGATGTAAAATAAATGTATATGTCGTCAGTGCATTCGTCTGGTCTTGAACGAGTTATGAACTGCGGATGATAATGGCCCAAATCAACTTATGGTGTGCATTAATCACTGTTTTTGTGTTCGTTAGATTTGTATTTACATTCTGCCTCACTGTTTTGTGTCCCTGACCATAGAACTACAAAACCAACTCCTCACTTGGACGGGTAAGTGTGCAGCACAATGTGATCTATTAATGGATTAGAAGTATATTTTATATGTGCTGTATGCCCAGTGTTTAATGGTTTTGTTGCTCTTTCCCCCACCAGAATTCATGTGGTGTTTGGTCAGGTGATCTCCGGCCAGGAGGTGATCCGGATGATCGAGAGTCAGAAGACGGATACCAACAGCCGACCCTATGCTGAGGTCAAAGTGCTCAACTGTGGGGAACTTATTCCCAAATCTAAAGGTGATATTGTATATTTTCTCTTCTCATTTTTAGTAAGTTTTATGCATTTTTATTAGTTATTAGCTTCTAGCTACAAAAGATCAACTTCACATGTCATTGCATTTCAGAATATGTTGGCATGCAATTCATAACCGAATGCGAATTATATTTTTGTATTTATATAGTGCCTTTCCAACACCCAAATAATATTGCATACTTGTATAAAATTTTTTTTTTGCCTAAGACATGATTTAAGTCTAGTTGCTTATTTAAATTTTGACAAATTAACTTGCACTTTGATTATACTCGTTTATGAAGTAACATTAATTGTGATGAGACTGTCCAGTGTTATGGGCATCAATATTTACTTTCACGGTCTCTCATGATTACTTGTGTTATTCAAGGGGCTTTACTTGAATTATTCATTCATACAGAAAGTTTTATATCCATTCCTGTAAACTTGTATGAACTAAAGTTATGCCTGGCAATGCAAAAATATCTGAATCCCAAACAGTTAATAGTGGCCATCACACTTTAATTTAATCTTGGTTTAATCGTCAAATTATGAAAGTGTGTGTTTTAAAGTATTGTTTTAACTCTTTTCATTTAGCAAAGAAAGAAAAGAAGCATCAGTCATCCAGCGAGAGTGATGACGACTCTTCTTCAGACAGCTCCACCGACTCGGAGGAATCAGAGAAGGAGAAAAAGAAACGGAAGAAACACAAGAAGGAACATAAGAAGAAGAAGGAACAGAAACACAAGAAGAAAGAGAAGAAAGGGTACTTTGCTAATACAGTTTACTTTTGCACATTTACGATTAGAATCTTTCGCCTTTCAACAATTCGAGTTGTTTGAAGAATTTGCTTTCCACATTCCTTGTGCATGTCAGTACTAAAAGGTCGACACGGTACCAAAATTATCACTGAAAATAGGGCTGCACGATCACGATTTTGGCTTCCCACGATCAAATTCGCGTGATCGAGTGATATTTAAAATGCATCATTCCATTCACGCTCCGTATCAAAGGTTTTTTTTTGCAAAGCCAATCTAAATGGTAAATAAATGGACTGCATTTATATAGCGCTTCCACAGACCCAATGGCCACCAAAGCGCTTTACAATTTGCGAATCTAGCGCTCCGTAAAACCACTGTTTGACCATGTGCCTCCATGAGCCCCAGTGCGCGAGAGAGACCGAGTGTGTCTGCGCGCGAGCGACAGTGCACGAGAGAGACCGGGTGTCCAAGAGCGCACTCGAAAGTGCGCGAGAGATACCGAGTGTGGCTGGACTGGGACAAAAAATCGGCCCGGGCATTTTGGCCCAGACTGGCCCACTATATAACACAACCGAACTTTGCACGCCCTTGAATATGTATACCAACTCCTATTAAAACCACTAATGCCATAAGTGAATAGGAGTGAGTAAGAGTTAACCGATGAAAATAACTACTAAGTTGAACTATACTCCACAGTGATGAATCCTAAAGAAAGCTATAAGCTGGGAAAGAAAATTGTGCTTTTTAATGTTAAATTCATAAATCTGGTGCACTTTGAGAGTTAAAAATAAAGAGCTCCAACCCATATTCAGTGTGCAAATTGAACAAAGAAAAACTCAAAACTCTTTTAGTTGTGATATAGTGTCTGTCTACATTACACTACTACATAATAATAGTTATAATATTAATCCCATGGCAGTAATAGCCATATGTTGTAAAACAAATGCACTGAAAAATAAAAGCAACTTTCATAATTAGTTTCGTACTAATTTCTATACAGAGATAAGCACATGATCTTTTATTTTAAGCTTTTATTTTGAAGAAAAATATGGTTTACAAACTCATTACTCATTATTGTCTCATTACAATTCTAATAAAATGCGTAATCGTCAAATATGCAGATGTGTAAATAATGCGTAACTGGGTAGTGGGTTCCTACATAGCCTAATGGTGTGTTCACACCGAACGCGAATTTAATTATTTGGGTGAGTAGATTACATACAAAGTCAATGCAAAGACGCGAATAGACGCATCATTTGCGCCGGGGGGGGCGTTGCGAATGACGCGAATTGTGCGACGCGTTTGCCGCGAATGTCTTCCGCGCAAGTTGAAAAATTTGAACTCGAGCGAATGTTCAAGCGTCTAACTAAACGCGATAGTCGCGTATTTGACGCTCTATTGGCGTTCGGTGTGAACACACCATAAGTGTTGTGACAGTAGCCTAGTTCTGTTTACCACAGTTCTCTGCACTCACTCATCTCTCTCCTTATCCTCCTCACTATCCTCATCAGACACTTGAAGGGCCTTTGAAGTTTCTTTTTTCACGCTATTTCTCTGCACATTCCTTGCGTTTCTTCTCCATCGCTCTGACTATTTTGACAGATACACACTGACACTGCTCGCTCACTCAGAGCTCAAAGGGGGAGGAGTTTAAAGATGTGATTGGACCAGCCCAGTGTCAATCAAGAAAATAACCAATGGGCCGCTGATCCACACGTTTCATCATGCGCCGGTCTGTGAGAAAAAGAAAAACCTACGCTGACTTTTTTGTCCAATGCATTACACCGGCACAAAGATCCCAGAGCCGCCAATTAAACAAAACTAAACGCAATGGGCCGCCGATATACGAGTTTTATGGGCCGTAAAAAAAAAAAAAAAAAGAAAGAAGTATGAGATGTATCGGCCCACAAAGCACGTCGGCCCACCGGGCAAATGCCCGGTATGCCCGATGGCCAGTCCAGCCCTGGTGCGCGTGAGAGACCGATTGTGAGCATTAGTGAATTGGTACATACTACATAGTAATATATAATTACTATATAAAAAGAGGCATGAAAGTTCGATTAATGGACTCCAATAATCAGTAAACGTCTTGTTTTGAACTATTGTTTTAAAAATAGAAATAATTCGAGCACATAAACTTTCATATGGAGGATGAAATCGATTCAATTTATGCAGTAAGATTTCACAACTAATCACTGACACTGTACCACAACCAGGTTTTACATTTCTTAAGCGTCATAACAGTGACTCTGAATTTCATCCATTAATCGTACTTCCACAGTGCAGTTCTGCTTTGAAATGTTCTCATTTTGTTACATTCTGTTTTGGAATATTTGTTTTTTATTGATTGTATATTTTGCGCGTTTTATTCACATCAGGTGACAATGCAAGTTTATATTTTGCTTCCTAAAATATATTTACACAATGTAAAATGTAAAATAATGCCCTGTTAAAGTTTTGCTACATTTTCTTTATTGTTTTATTTGTTTTTATTTATTCTTTAAAGAGATGCACTGAATTTCGGTGAATAAGAGGACCTGTTTTATTTTGATGCACATAGTTGTACATTAGCAGGAATGTAGCACAATATGGATGTGAAAGCAGTTATAATTAGCCTATGTGACAATAACATTTGTTTTGGTTAATATCAACAAATAATCGTGATAATTAATCGTGATATCAATATTGATCAAAGTAATCGTGATTATCATCTTGGCCCGAATCGTGGAGCCCTACTGAAAAATAAACAATCCTTATACGTTTTATGTATTAAAAATATATAATAAATACAAATAATTAAAATATATGAAAAGATTTCGGCAGCCAATAAAACGTGTTTCATTTTGTACAAATCATGTTCATCCTTTTTGAAAGTGAACCTGTATTTTAATTTGCCTTTGTCTAGTTTCACTCATGTTTTTTTTAAGGATCAGAGCACGAGGTCACAAAACCTGTCCACGTTAGCATCTGCCTTAGGCCTTTTTACACTAGTGTGTTTTCGTTTTAAAACGAAAACATCCATACTGGCATTTCAGAAACTATCTCCGTCCACACTACACAACTGAAAACACGTCACATGACCATTCATGCACACTGGGTGTGCGTACAAGTGTAATAAAAGCTCTAATAATAGCTTTCCTCTTGTGCATGTAGGCAGCTGCAGGATTATAAAATGCAGAGTTTAACTGCACAGTGGCTGTTTAAAAGGACAACAAAGTCAGCCATATTATTTCCACAATAATTATATGGTTCGTTTACTTTTATTATGTGCATTGAGTGGTGTTTTCATCAACTGTTGACAACTTCATCATAATGGAGTAAGAATTTTAACATGTTTTTCCAGGTCTGATGAGGAACAGGCTGATCCCCAAACTTTGTCAACCATTCGCCCAGAGGAAGTCCCGCCCATTCCAGAAAACCGCTTCCTAATGAGGCGAAGCCCCCAGAAGGCCAAAGAAGAGGAGCAGGGGAAAGAACAGAAGAAGGAGGACTCTGGGAAAGAGAGACAAAGAGACAGGGACAGGGAGAGAGAGAGGGAAAGGGACAGGTAGATGTGGTATTTTAATATTTCACCCAATAATGGTGTGAAAGATCATTTGTTCATACAGACAATTTTTATATTGTGTGATTTTTTTTTTTTTATTATTATTATTGTCCTCCCCAGTTCACAACTTGTATGTTATATTCCAGACCCATGGCGAATTCACGGCCGAACCGCACAAGACTGGTGATGACCAGGTCAGGGCGCAGGATTAAAGGAAGAGGACCGAGGGTGAGAATAACTGTGGTTTGCTTTGAAAGACCGATTATGTGTTAAATGTAAATACACTGCCGTTCAAAAGTCTGGGGTCGGTAAGATTTGATCTGTTTTTGCAACAAGTCTCATTTATTTGATCAATAATACAGTAAAAACTGTGTTATTACACCCTCAAATAACTTTTCTATTGTAATAGACATAATCTGTTCCTTATTAATTATAGCTCATTTATGTATTTTGTTTGAACTTGATCTGTTCTGTCCGGCTGTAGCGCTACCGGACTCCATCTCGGTCTCGCTCACGGTCGTGGGATCGGTTTCGGCGCAGTGAGACGCCTCCACACTGGAGGCAGGAGATGCAAAGGACACAGAAAGCTAAATCTAACACAGCCGCCACACAGGACAGATGGATCAAAGGGGACAAGTAAGTCCAATCTTACAGTACATGCAAATATTGAGGTCGGGATTCATGTAATGAGGGATTTTCAAGCTTATTTAATTAGAAGCTGAGCGATGTGGGCAAATAAATCATTCAATATCAATCATTATCATGATAAATGTTAAATCTTTTTAAAGGCAGATTTTTGCTCCACAGTGAAAGTTGTAGAAACCAGCCCAGTAATTTTAAAGAACTTTTTACTGTCAGAATTCTTTATTTTTTTCTTAAAATAAATATCTTAATAGATTTTTTTTTTTCTTAGTTCTGCATATTCTACCGGGTGATATTGTTTCAAAATTACAACAGATTTGTCTCGCCTGACTTTATTAGCACGTTTCTTTGGCACAGTTTGCGGTGCAGGCTGCGATTATTAATATTATTACATGTTTTGTCTCTTAGAAATACACATTTGACAGTAGCTTGAGTTAGAGTGCTGAAGTTAATTTGTTCATTAACAAAAACTGTAACATCTGTAAAAATTAACAACCTAATTTTATATGGTAAAATGTAAATATTCTAAATGTTTGAGTTTTATTAAAATTAATCGCAAAAAAAGGTTACACTTTATTTTAAGGTGTCATTGTTACAGTGTAATTATATATTTAAATAGTGAGTAATATCAATTAATGGCATGTACTTACTATAGGGTTAGGATTTGGTTGAGGGTTAGTTGCATGTAATTATTTTTATTGCTATGGTAACTACATGTAACATAGTAACTAGGACACTGTAAAATAAAAACATACTGTAATTATATTACAGTACATTTTAATACATGTCAACATTAATAATATAATAACATTCTATATGAATATTCCACATTTCTGCCACAATACCGTGGTGCAGTTAGTGTTACTACAGTAAATCCATGGTAAATATGGCCATTTGTAGATTGAAAGCCTTCTGACTGTATCATGCGCATCGATGTGTTTCATCTGGCTTAAAAACTAAATCACAGAGACGTTTGTGTTCTTCGAGCGCTTCTCACTGGATCTCAGTGTTTTAGGGCTGTCACTTTACGTTCGAAAATCGATTGCACAATCGATCAGACCAACCAACACAAGTATCGAAAACGAAAATAGGGAATCGATTTTAACGGCTAGGGGTGTAAATCGGAGCCTACATGACGATTCGATACGATACCGATTTCTTAAGCCAACGATTCGATTATTTTTTGATACTTCAGAATTCCCCGCGATACGATTCGATTTGATTCGATACGATTCAATAATCGATATTTTTACATGATATCTATTAAGTTTCAAATAAATCAACAACATTTTTTATAATTTGCCTTTTATTGAGAATTACAGGAACAGTATTCTATTCACATAATGTGTATGTTGTGCTTAATGCACTGCAAATAGAACAGCAAATATAACAGTTACTGCATACAGTTCTAAACTTGATTCTATCGAATCCTGGTGCGTTTCCGTGCATCTTACGTCATCGCAAACGTGCACGACGCATGATAGAAAACAGAACGCGGGTCAATATATTGTGTGGTTTTTTTTTGTTTGTTTTTTGGTGCTATTATGCACAGCTGAGTGAACAACACCGGTTTACTGTGTCGCATTTGGCTTTTTGCTGATTGCAAACGCAGGAGACAGTAGATTTCCATTAATTTGTTGCCCTGAGTCCACGCGCTATGTGTGTGCGAATACAGACTCACTCTCGCTCTTATCCAAGGTAAATTATCAACACTATCATCCCTTACATGTGTTTTATTTAACTAAATACATCATAATCAGCTAAAAAGCATGCGCAGGTTACTTACTTCCTGAACAAGTGCGCACCCGAGTCCGTGATGCTTTCACATTCACGCGAACCGCGGCACGGTTCGAGTGCAACCGAACTCAGCGCACCTCCTCCAGGCAGTCTCGGGTTTGGTACCCCAGTGCCCACCCGGGTCCGCATGACAGACAGCGTTTACATAATTAGCGATTTTTCATGCGAACCGTGCCCGTTCCGTTCCGAGTTGGTGTGAAAGCACCCTAGACTGTTCAAGTAAGCTGTTGAAGTAGCCTTTTGTACACATTAGCGCCTGTTTGTTTACGTTAGTAACTGCTAGCTTGGAATTCGCCAACTAAGTGACTGAGGGTGCATTCACACTGGCAGTTTAGTTCGGTGACTAACTAATGTTAGCCCAGTGCATAACAACAATCGTTTGTACGCATATGAGCGGATGCTGAAAATAGACAGGCGGCAAAACAAACACATTAATCCAGTGGTCACCAACCTTTTCAAGCCTAAGATCACATCCCAAGTCCAAATGTAAACCAAGATCTACCACTTGCAGAAAATTATGAAAAAACAAGGCCACAATGTAGTTCTACTTTGACATTCTTTGTTGCCTGTTAGTCACTAGCAAAATATTTATTTAACTATACAAATAGTATATATAACTATACAAACTGTCAACTATAATTCAACATTTTCAACAGTAATATAACATTGTTAAGTATATATCCACAGGCTTATTACTCATATATAAACACAATAATCAGTCAATTACAGGCCTAAGCCAATAATGTACTGTTTCATTTTCCCTTTTAAAACATAGGCTATTTCAAATTAAAATGGTAAGTGCAACTAGCATACAAAATATTATAACAACAGTCATCCTTCAATTCTTCAAAAATATTTTCACACAAATTACAGACCTACTACTATTCATTACCTCAATAATCAATCAATTACAGGCCTAAAACAGTCATCTACAGCACTGATTCTCTTTCCCGTTTCCAACAACATAAAACACAGATCTCCTTTTAACAATAGCCAATAAAGGGTTTTTCCTGTCTCAAAATGAGGCGGAGTTGGTAAAATCGTAACACTAGGGGGGTCCGGGGGCATGCCCCCCCGTGAGAAAAATTTGTACATTTTAAAGATAAATTCATTAATCTGGTGCACTTTGAGTCACTCGAATCTGTTGTTAAAAATAAAAAATAATCCACCTGCCAACCACCCATATTCTTTGATTTAGATATCTGCATCTGATCATCACATTACAATTATTCAATTAAGCATGATAATATGGTAACATATCACACTGAAGTAGGCTGATTTAAAATTAACATTTATTTAAATTAAAAGTTCTTCTTTTGGCAAAATTACATTTCCTTTATAGCCTAAACAGAGGCTTTAGCCTATCCCTTTAAACTTAAATTGTCAATGTTTCATTTTTGAAAACACTCTTATCGGAATAATTTTTTGTACCTTTATAAAGGGCATTTTCCCCCTAATTTTATTTAATGTACTGGTATGCTCTAAATTTCATTTCAAATTCTTACATTTTATCAATACATTCAATTAAAATAATAAGACAAGGCTGTTACCAATCAAATTAAATAATTTACATTGAAAAATTATAACTGTATTAAATGAGATTATGAGATTGTTTTGAATATTTTTTGAATATACAAATAAGGAATGCTGAAAAGAATGATACTTTGAAACTAAACCGCCAGTAGAAGCGGCAGGCGGCCGTCTTAATGAGCGAGTCATTGAGTCATTCATTCAAACGATTCGTTCAAACGGCTGATTGATTCAGAATGAGGCGGTTTAATAATGGGTAACGTTAATTGAATCTTTGACTCGAGCGATTAGGTCAAAACGCTGAATCATTCAGTGATGATTGATGAATAATGGATGAGTGTTGCTGTGAGATGCGCTGGTTCTGTTGTTTGGAACTATTTTCGCTGCTGAAACAGAACAAAAACAGTAATTGCGTCTAAAAATGTAAGTAACTTAATTTTAACTAGGCTATTTGTTTATTGAACTGTTATGAAATCAATATCTTGGTTTCAATCGTGCTTGCATTCAGGAAAACAGCACTCTGGTCGTGTGTAGTCTATAACGTTATATTGTTTCTTAACTATAAATTTGACGGAGGCGGCCGCCTCATAATTGTTTATGCAGGAAAACCCCTGCAGATTTCAAATTAGCAATAGCCTACTCCCTCACCGTTGTGCCATCGTTTCGTTAGCTTGCGTATCGTTAGTTTGAAGAGCTTGATGTGAGCGTAGTGTGAAGTGGCTGAGCTGGTTAAAGCGTGAAGCCTTGTTTATACTCGACGCGTCCGCATGAGCCCAAAATGACGTCATTGTAACGGCGCGCGCGCCTCTGGATCCCCTAGACACCATTTACTACACACAGTAGGCTCACACATGGTGCATTTTTAAGTAATAAATAATAATGAATACAAATATTGGTGTTTTTTCTCTGATTTTGAAAACTCTTCGCGATCAACTTAAAATGCTTCCAAGATCGACTTGTCGATCGCGATCGACGGGTTGGTGACTCCTGCATTAATCGATACTCTTGCGGACGCATCGATGCATCGAATCGTCGGCTGTATAATCGATGCATCGATACGAATCGATTAATATTTACACCTATTAACGGCCTTCTCTCGGAGCGCGTCCATCTCGTCACGACACGCCCGCAGCGAACGCACGTCACACAGCAACTGCAGGCTCTGACACACACACATACAAACTATACTATACTTCTGCATAATGTGTCTCTTTTTACAACAAAAATGTGAATTCTGCCAGTATTCAGACAGTCTCATACGTACAGGGTAACACTTTACTTGAAGGGGTGTGCATTAGACTGACATGACACCTTCATAACCATGACATGACATATGTCATGAATATGAAGTAGGGTTTATGCATGCAGGGTTCCCGCGGATCCTTAAAGTCTTAAATTAGATTTTTAAAATTTAAGACCATAAAAAGTCTTAAGTCTTATTTTTACTTATGAAAGGTCTTAAATTTTAGATGACACTTTGACTTAGACATATCTAAAAGCTTTCCAAATTAAAACTATCTAATTAGCGTACGTATTTTTATTGATTTATTATTCTATCTTTGTGGATTTGCTAGTTCACGTGACATTTCGCGTCACTCGCGAGTCGCGGCAGCATAACTGTCTCCTGCACGCGAGAGGAGAGGAGAAGAAAGGTCGTAAATGTCAGTTCAGTTGTAAGTTCATTCTTTATGTGCGTATGGTGTGCGATGTGTATTGTCTATTATGATATTGTAATCATTGTTTTAACAATGTACGAGGCACTGCAAGCTGACATCGCATTTGTCTCGTGCTTTCACTGCGTGATGTGTGCAGTGTAACTGTTATGTCCCCAAATTAGTTTTTGTCTTATATTTATATCATATTATGTTCTTATATTAGAATATCACATCAGCAAGAGTGCCGTTTTCCCATGCACGATTCCAAGTGTGATATTTATGTTATACAACTGTTAAATTAACAATAAGTTAACATTGAAACTACTTTTTAGACACATTATTGTTAATATTGTTTGTTTTCCCTTTATTTCGCCCACTATAATTTCATAATGAAACCGTAGCAGAGTCTCAATGCAACCGACAGCGATGATTTCTTGACTGAAATCCGCGTTTTGAACGAATCACTTGCTTCTTTCCCGAATGAATCAGCCGTTTGAACGAATCACTTGCTTCTTTCCCGAATGTATCAGCCGTTTGAACGAATCGGTTGAATGAATGACTCCCTCAACTCACTTATTAAGACAGTGATTTGCCGCTGCGGTTTCATATTTAAAGTACCCTTTAAATAAAATTAGAAATCATTTCATATTTAAATATTGAATGTTGATTTAAAAATATATATCTCATAGCTTTATTTATGCAGTTGTAAATGGAGTGTAAATATATTAATGCCACTTCTGATGCCGCTTCTGTCACCTCTGCACTGCAAAGATGGATTTTGATTGAATGATTTAATTTGACTGGTAACAGTGGTACTGTATGATTATTATATAATTAAGTATTATTGTATAATTACTGTATAATTTAATTTGAATGTTAGTATTTGACATTAAAGGTGATGCATAACTCTAAATAAGTTTAGAAAAAATGTCCATATATAGGTGAAAATGCCCCTGAAAAAATCAATTTAAGGTGGCAAATATTGCCCCTTAATCAAAATATTAATTTCTGTCACTGCTGTGAACCGACCACTGCATAGAATATGAAAAATATGAATATCTTCGTGAGTCAGCAAGGCACCAGCACAAAAACACAATCAGTAAAATATCATCTAATTATTATCAACAAAACGTTGAAAATATCAAGATATATTTGTCATTACTGCACAGCCCTAATGTACGGTATTAATTTTGATTTCTTAAGGTCTTAAAAAGGTCTTAAAAAGCCTTAAATTTGACTTTCAAAAGTGTGCAGGAACCCTGTGCATGTTTATGACAACTGTCATTAAGTGTCTTTTGCTCAATAATGACATTTTGAATGCAAATATGACATTGTTTAAGATGTCTTTGTTATGACAACTTGACATTGAATTAAATTAAACTGGCATGTGGTTGGTTTTGACACTGGCTGTCATGAGGCATTATAACTGTGTCATGAATATTTTTCGTGACCTCAACTACAGTGGTACACATTCAATTTGTCATTAACATGTTATAATGGCCTCATGACAGCCAATGTCAAAACCAACCACATGACAGTTTAATGTAATGTTAACCTATAAAGCTAAGTGGTTTCTTAAGTTTGATAATTAATCTGCTATGTCATGTTTATGACAGGTTGTGTTGTCTTAGTAATGTCAAGTTGTCATTACCAAGTCACTGACAGATTATGATGTATTGGTTTATGTCAAGGTGTCATAACAAAGACATTTCAAACAATGTCATATTTGCACTAAAAATGTCATAACTGAGCGAATGACACTTAATGACAGTTGTCATAAACATGCATACAACTTCCTTCATATTCATAACATGTGTCATGTCATGATTATGAAGGTGTCATGTTAGTCTTATGAACACCCCTTCAAGTAAAGTGTTACCGCGTACAGATACAGATTCGGCCTACAATCGCCTACGTAGGCGAAATTTGTTTGACATTTCTAATCGTAAACACAGCCATGTTGAAGCCTGCAGTAATGTTCTTCATTGATGTTATGGCAGTCCACTCTGCTTATTGTTTTTTGACAATTTTGCGCTCCTGTTTGTCATTGTGCACGAAACTTCATGTCAATAAATCTTCAGAAATATTGCTGACTTGTGCGTGTCTCAAGCGCACTCTTTGCGTTCGTCCTAACGCCTGTTAGGTGTCCGTGGATTTGCCTGTATTTGGTGCTGAAAATGGAAACGTCTTTTGACATGGAAAATAGATTTTACAATCGATTCAATGGACATTTATGTCTCAAAAATCGATCAGGATTTTTTCACAAAAGTGACAGCCCTACAGTGTTTTTTTCGCCCAACCCTAATCCGAAGTTATTATTATTATTATAATTTTCTTGAAATTGGCGATTTGTAGATTGAAAAGCCTTCTGACTGTATCATGCGCATCGATGTGTTTCATCTGGCTTAAAAACTAAATCACAGAGACGTTTGTGTTCTTCGCTGAATTCGAGCACATCTCACTGGATCTCACAGCGTTTTTATCAAATTATATTGCGATATCTATCATTGTTTTTTCATGTGTATTTTTTAATTTTAGAGGAGATATGTCAGAGGACAAAGCAGATGCCACTGAACCAGCCAGCGAAAACAAACCTGCGGGACAAGAAGCAGCAAAAAAGAACTCTGAACGAGAGAAGAAAGATGCAAAGCGGGACAAATCACGCAGTCCATCCAGAGGAAGAGATAGGAAGAGGGACAAACATCGCTCCAGAAGCAGAGATCGGGACGCACGCAAAAAGACTGATGCCGACGTGGAAAAGAAGAAAGCTCGCAGCCAGAGCAAAGAAAAGAAGAGAGAGAAGGAAAAGCGCGATAAAGCCGATGACAAACGGGGACGCTCGAGCAGCAAGGACAGAAAAGAGAAAGAGAAAGATGCCAAAGAGCGAGAGAAGGAAGGCGAACAGAAAGACCGAAGCAAAGAAAGGACCAAACAGCATCCGGATGGGAATGAAAAGGAGAAATCGAAGGAGGTGGAAAAGAAGAAGAATGGAGAGCAGCAACGTGACAGATCAAGAAGCAGAGAAAAGGCTCGTGATGCGTCGCGTAGGTCCCGGTCGAGGGGTCGCGGTCAGCGTGGCCAATCACGCGAGAGAGGCCGTGACCGGCGTCACAGCAGCAGCCGGGACAGAAGATCCTCTCGCCGCTCGAGAAGCAGAGAGCGAGAGCGAGACCGAGGGAGAGACGCAGAAGACCGAAACAAGAGGAAGAGCACCGATGAGGCGAAGAGCAAAGAAACCAGAGGACGAGACCGAAGCTCCAAAGAACGCTCTTCCCAGAAAGAGCGAGACGATCGAACGAGCGGGAGGAAGAGGAGAGGAAAGAGCGACAGTGGAAGCAGCGATTCTGAGAGCGACGGCGATAAACGCAAGAAAAGTAAAAGGAGCGAGAGCCCAAAAGCAAAGGACAAATCTAAAAGTCCAAGAAAAGATGCCAAGAAGAATAAGGACGCCTCTTCCAGCGCCAGTGACTGAGACTCTGCATGTACCACTCCCTATTTTGAGTTATCTTTTCCCCACACAAGCATCAACGGTCTGCTGTTCAGCAAACGATACAAAGAGACTGACATTTTAGTCATCGTGTAAACATTGTGGACACACCCTGGAATACTTTTAATCACTGATACAGACCGTACCTAATTTGTTTCAACTGAATCGGTTATATTTGTCCTGCTTTTATCTGACGTTTGTTTTCTCTCGCCCATATCTCAACGTAAATGTTTAGTGAGTTTCTTAGTGAAAATGGTTGCTTACAACAACAAAAAAATCTTCTGTCTGATCTGAGCTGTTTTTTTTTTTTAAGGGTTTGTTGGGGACATGTTTGCGTACCTTGGAGTTTTGTAAGGGCTTTCTGTTTATAAAGACACGACAATGTGAGGTTCTGCTGAATTTGACAAATAAAAATTGGTACTGAACCTGTGAACCTCGCTTTCAGTGGTCCTGTTGATTGAAATCTCTTCCTAAATTAATATCTTGGTGGGGTTTTTTTAGTTTAATTTATCTGTTTTGGCTGATATGAGATTTTTTACAGTTAGATAAGGTTTAAACATTACAGCAAAAATATTTAATTCCATTAGTTTTATATCAAACTTCATTTCCACCATTGTTCATCCCCATTAGCTTTTTGATATTTAATGGATTATAGATTTTTTTAAAGCACAAACTTTTGTCCCCCCCCCCCCCCATCTATAGTCTAGGTTTTTCAGAGGGTTTATATAACATTATATTCCTAAAAACATGATTTTATTTATTCTGGATGTTGGTATTTAATTTTTTATTATTGAGTGATAAAAATATATATCCAAAATCCTGTTTGTAATATATATATATATATATATATACAAACAGGATTTTGGATATCTGTTTTTATCACTCAATAATTAAAAAATAAAATACCAACATCCAGAATATGTATTTATGTCTGTAACGTTATTTTTTCATTCATGCTTGAAGTTATTGTTGCAGTCCTGACGCATTTCATAGTTATGACTGCACTGTACTTTTCTAAAAACGATTTCCAAGCAGTTTCTATATATAAGTAAGACAAAACCGGTTTCATCTCGAATAAACTGATTCGGTTTACTGAATGAATAACTGACTGGAAACAGAAAGCAAGAACGCCCCCAAGTTGACTTGAGTGATTTGCGTGGCCAATCAGAGCGTCGCATGACGTTTGAGTGACGTGAGCCACAGCCTATCAGAGACGGGCAGTGACTAATCATGCTTTGTGTTGTAAGCAAGTGTCCGTGTAGAATCGCTAACAAAATCGAATAATTCACTCAGGCTGCCGCTTCAGGTTGGTACACATTTGATTTCCTTGACTTGCTTAGAAAGCATCGTTGAACATTCGTTCGTCAGCCATTGTGTCTTTGTGTGTTATTCCCAGCGCAGGATGAAGACCTTAGTAGTGTTCGACTTTGACCACACTATAGTGGATGACAACAGCGACACATGGGTGATCCGCTGCACTCCCGACCAGACGTTACCGGACTGGATGGAGAAGTCCTACGAGAGAGGCCGATGGACCGAGTACATGGGTCGAGTCTTGACCTACATCGGGGACCAGTCCGTGAGCCCGGAGCACATGCGCGCGGTCATGGAGAGCATCCCGCTCACCGAGGGCATGCTCGAGCTCCTGACCTTCATATCCGAGAACAAGAGCGACATCGACTGTATTATAATTTCCGACTCGAATACTGTCTTCATAGACTGGGTTTTGCATGCATCAGGGTTGAAGTCGGCTATAGATGACGTCTTCACCAACCCTGCAAACATCGATGCGCGCGGCTACATGAGCGTGCGCTGCTTCCACGCGCATGACTGTACACAGTGTCCTATAAACCTGTGCAAGAGGAAAGTGCTGCATGATTTCAGAGAGAATCAAGCTAAAGCTGGTGTGCATTATGAGAGGATTTGCTATATAGGAGATGGAGGAAATGACTTTTGCCCCATTCAAGAATTGAGAGAAGGGGATATCGCGATGCCTAGGAAAGGATTCACCCTAGAGAAACTGTTGTGCAAAGCCATTTCAGAGAGTCCAGAAGCTCTCAGTGCGAAAATCATGCCCTGGACCAGTGGCAATGAAATCCTCCGGGAATTACGAGCTCTAATTGAGTAATACAGTATTATATGAGATAATGATAGACTTACTGAACCAATAGAATATCAATATGTTTATTCTGCAGTAAATGCATCATGTGCATGAACTATTATTAGGCTATAGATAATTTACACACACAAACACACAAAAAAACATCCCTTAATTTACTTGGGCATGGTGTAATAATATCCGAGTTCATGTTTGGTGCACATTTTAAAAAGTATATATTTGACATGTTAATTTACATTTAAGTGTTTATGAGAGTATAAATGCAACTTGTCTTGAAGATTTAATTAATAAAATAAGCTCACTGTTAGGACTCGGAGGATTTAACAGTTTGAGGTGTTTATATTTAATCCACTGAGGTTTGCTGTAGAGCGTTAAAATGAACAAATGTAAAAGTTTTAACATGCTGGCTAAATATTTATTTGCACGATATAGAAATTCCCCTTTACTATCACTATCTATTAATACACCAATAAATGCCATTATTGTCATGTTATGAATGAATGCAAAATCCTTTAAGACTGCAATCTTGTACTACTATAAAATGAAAATAGCCTAGAATATATTATACAAACCAGATTATTATTATTGGAAGCCCTAATCTGCCTTAGTAGTATCATATTTTCATATTTACTGTGGGCCTGAAAAGTCTAAGACCACTGTAGTTATGAATTCTGGAAATATAAAAACTATTTCCAAAAGCAAGACATAACATTTGAATTTTAAAATTTTTATACAGCACAACTTATTATTATTATTATTGAAATGCTCAGACTATTTATTTCCAGATTTTTAACGTGGTCTCAGACTTTTGACTCCCATTTTTTCTGGACACCAGCGGTGTTTATAAAGCCATCCGGGTCATATAGTCTGACCGCATATAAAGTGTCAGACTTGCTGCTCTTGATGTAGATTAACAGTGCTGTGAATGCTTCTTCTTGAATAAGCCTGAATTTTAGATGTGTATTGGAAATGCAGAGTGTTGTATTCAAAGCAAACAGAGATGAATGGAGGAGATCGTGGACTTTAGTGTTGGTTTATATGACTATATTTACAGGGAAGCTTGGATCTGTCAGAACAAATCCATTTATATGACTGGATCATCGCCATATTGACCTAAACTAAGACCTTGTTCCTGTTAATATTTACAACACATCTTGTGTCCTTTGTACTTGTGACACACATGTTTAGTGTCCCATTAAAAAGGAATAAAAGAAAAATTATGGACTGTCTTTTGTTTCTTTGAGTAATTGTCTGTGTCGGATAGGAGACGGTAATTTACTGAAGCTTAAACTGAGTCCAGCACTTATTACTGCACAAACCTCTTAAGCTTAAGAAAACCATTAGTTATAATTATATGATGCATTTTCTTGTGGCTTTTATTTAGGCGATACACTACAGGCAAAAACAGTTTTTTCATGCATCTGTCAGTTTTGAGACAAGTTTTTTTTTCAGACTAGTGGAAAGAAAACATTCAAAATACATTTGTAAGTGTATCTTTTTATAGCACTTTATTTGCGTATTTAGATTTCAATAACAATATCTTTAAAGGCTGTTTTCTCAACAAACAAAAAAAAATCTCCTGAAATCTCCACACTTTACAGTTTTATTCTATATTCTGAATGTTTGAATATAGGGTTTGTTCTTTGCCTGATTTAATACATTTCATTCCTAAAAAAAATAGTGAAAATTGTTTAATTGTTTGGGGCTGTGGACTGTGTCGGAGTGATAAAAAGAGAAATCCAAAATCCCCTCTGTAAAAACCTTTGACTCTAATATGTCAAAAAAACAAAAAAACATTACATGTTCAATGTTCAGATTTTTGTTCTAGAAATGTATGCAAATTAGTGCTTATTTGATTAGATAATGCCTCATTAGCATATTGAAACATAACATTTCAGAAAACTTGTAATACAAGTAATAAGAAACCATTCTTAATGTTATCACTCAACATGGTGATATCTATCAGGTTTATTTTTATCGGGTGTCTTGCCTTAAAGATATATTATAAAAGACCAACAATGTTACCAACTAAAAAATGTTTACCAAATGAATATTCTCAAACTGAAAAAGCTAGGAGATGAGTGGATTCCGTGTTGTACTCAATTTCCCAATCGCCCCAGTCTCTGCGTGACGTCATTACCGCGCGACGCCATACTTGACTCACGGTCGGAATCGGATATCGTTTAGTGTGGCGTTTCATTGAGATCCGACAGGTTCAGAACGCAAGTAAAGTGAGTATGTCATTATTTCTTGTTTTTCCTGATATTTAGACTGTTGCGATGTTTCAGATCGGACCGAAAACATACGATTGACAGATTGAGCGCGCGACGTTTGTTCAGTATCATTCCGTGACATGTGGCGCGCGTGGCGTACATGATTTATAAACACTTATAACTGCTGTTGCCTGAATTTATATATGTTATTCACACGGCGTATTTTTAGTGCTGTTAAACACTGGGTTTATAAACTTCAAGAGACAACATTAATATTAAAATAGAAACTGCATGCAGGAGTTCTGCTGTACTCACACGTGGTTTGAAAATCATGTTCATGTGCATTTTTCATGATTATATAGGTTGTGATGTAACATTTTGATAGGATAGGCAAAAAATAAATAATGTGTTCAGACTTTTGAGCAGAATAGGCAAAAAATAAACAATATATGTGTTCAGACTTTTGAACGTTTGCAAGCAAGTGTTGTTTATCTTCCTAGTAGAGATGGCAGACAATCAGGAAATGTCTCCTCTGGAGAAGAAAGTGGCAGACCAGATTGAGGTGAGAGAATCATAAGTATGTTATCTTTCCAAGCCGCCAATCATACCAGTGACATGCATAATCAATGTTTCGGTCTGTGTTTAGTACTATTTTGGTGACCACAATCTCCCCCGAGACAAGTTTCTGAAGGAGCAGATGCAGCTGGATGACGGCTGGGTCACTCTGGAGACAATGCTGAAATTTAATAGGTAATTGCAAAAGAAATGCATCATGTTTCTGAATAAATCAAGTACACCTGGCTGCAGCCTGCAGAACGGGGCGGGGCTACACGTGTCGCTCCGCCCCATGCCTACTCTGATTGGCTCGATCGTCTTTCATAGGCATTCAAATGATAAAAAATGTGGTTCAAATTTATATGAACTGGAAAAGCTGTGCAGTTTCATAAAGCCTTTATTATAATGGACGGAAGAAGGTGAAAATTAGCATTTATGCTATAACCTGGCTCATTTACAGTCTGTACAGAAATGTTAAGATTGTTCATTAATGTGCACTGTCCTGAATAAATAAATAAAAATAAATAATAAAACATTGGCCTGTATCTCACAATGTTCTTGAAATTGTTTTGCTAAATTAAGCTGGTCTTTAGGCTAACATACAAACAACGCCACAACATTTAACCCTCTGATACTGTTCGTGTTTCGGTCAAAAACGATGCATTTATAATCCAGTTATTCAATTTGAGCCTGGACCTGAAAATTAAATTTTCAACTTAAACTGTCGTAAATCTTGAATGGACAGAAGAACACTATAAACTTCATCATGCACAATAAATGAACTATATGTTGTATGGTCTTATGGAGCCATGCGATAGGTTTGTGTGAGGAACAAAGTGAAGTTTAGCTCACAAATGTCTTTCAAATTTATGTGTGGCCCCTTTGGATGTGTCGTGCCAAACATTTTTGAAGGAAATTACATTTTAGAGCTGCAATGGTGAGTTTACAGTCAATTTAATAGCTTGAATTTTGGTCTGTTTCTCTACATAGCTGCACAAGTATAGTTCACAAGTTACATAAATTACTTTAATGAGAAAATGGCTACATGAAGACTCTTCATTGTGTCAGTCCATGTAACTTTGCTGCGGATGTGTCCCATTTTTTGTATTTGTCCTCGCAGACTAAAGACTCTCACGTCAGAAGCAGCCTTCATTGTGGAGGCGCTACAGAAATCTAAAAGTGGTCTGCTGGAGATCAGCGAAGACAAAACCAAAATAAGGCGAAACCCGAGCAAACCTCTTCCAGAGAACAGTGAGGAATACAGGGACGCGCTCAAACACAAATCCATCTACATGGTGAGCGAATGGGAACAATGACATTAAGTCCTCTTTCTGCCTACCCGTGTTGCTTTTGCTCTAAAGCAAACAGCTTATAATAATATTTGAACATGTCTAGTCCTCTGTAAAACTGGGAGATGTTGTCTTGTCCTGTTTTTGAGTCCTACAATAGGATACTATACCCACATTCTGCATTTTGTTGACTGTTGTTAATGTTTAAATTCAACAGAAAGGTTTTCCTCTTGAAACTACACTGGATGAGGTGAAAGAGTGGCTTGCTGATAAAGGAACAGTCGAGAACATCTACATGAGGAAAGGACCCCTGAAGACTTTCAAAGTAAGGGTTTTAAGAAAGTCCAAGCCGGCGTGATACGGAAGTTGTGATTGTCTTTTTTTCCAAATTTTGAGGAATCTCTGAGTGATATGGCTTCTCAATTAAGGAAAATTTTCGTTTTAAGGCATTTGTTTCAGAAACTGTTGTTTTATTTCTTAATTCGGTCAGTTTATAGCCTGGGAAATCCCAGACAACTTCTGGCAAATTTAGATTTGCTCTGAAAGTTAGTCTGGCAAAGAGCTCATTCAAGCCCATTTCCAATCCGTCGAAATCGCGGCACCAATCAGAAACGTTGGGGCGGGCTTTACACGATGACGACAGCGCTGGGATTTTGAAGCAGATTTTGTAGCCTACATTACAAAGATGGATGCCGCCGTCGAACATCACTCGTTCCAATCAGCTATCGCGTCTGTTTTAAGCCATTTAAACGTTTCCTTTTTGTTAAAAACCAAGCAAAGAACAACACTCGGAGATGTGTCTCCGCCGCTCTGCATACGTCATCTCCTTCATCGCTCTGATTGGGTTTAGGTCTATCCGCGACGTCCGTTGGTGACGCCCCTCTGGAAATGATTTGTCTATGACGCTTTGCCAGACCATAACTCAGTTACAACTGAGAATGGTTTGGTTTTAACCAGGCTAGTTAGTTTAGGCATATGAACATGGCAATGGCGTTCACGTTCAGTTTTACTCACATGTGAATTGCATAAACACAATTCGATGCTATTTGAAATGTTGCCTTGTGAAAGTGAACCTAACCAAGAAGAAAATGCAACATTGTAACAAATGTACAATGTCTCGGAACAAAGCAAACAATCTACAGGTGTAAAATGCCCTTAGTTAACAACATTGGGATACATTAAATTTTAATATATGAAAACCGTAGCCGGGTGCTGTCTACCTTATCAAAACTGAGCTCTATACTGTTGCTGTCGTCTGCAGGGATCAATCTTTGCGGTTCTTGAATCTGAAGAGGCTGCCAAAGCTTTTGTCGAACGTGCCGACGTCAAAGAGTACAAAGGGAACGAGATGATCGTTATGATGAAGTAGGTGCTTTTGCCCCATTTAGCTTTGCATGTTTACCTAGTAACTGAATGACATTGAATATACTGGTGTAAGAGGTGTTAACCTTTGACCTCTGTCTGTAGAGAAGCCTACTTTACTAAAAAGATGTCAGAGAGGAAGCAAAATCGAGTGGAAGCAAAAGCTAAAGCAAAAAGGTAACGCATAACAATACATATTTTCTACTAAAAAGTGAGATGAGATCTAAAATGTTATAATTGGTAAACTTGTGCATTTCAGTGAAAAGGAGGACAAGCAGAAACAAGCTGAAGAAGAAGAGCTGGTGAGTTTCATGCAGAAACTCAAATAAAAGATGTTTGTGTTAAAGGGGTCCTATTAAGATTTTTTTTACATTTTCAAGGCATCACCTTTATTTAAATAGCGCTTGATACAATACATATCGTTTCAAAGCAGCTTTACAGTGATAAACAGGAAAATAACGATTCAGTGATGCAAACAGAATTCAATTCTGCTTTAAAGCAGCTCTAAAAAGACGATAGTAAACGGTCATTCATTTCGGTGTAAAATACATCAATTATGAAATGATTTGAATTCAGTTATAAAGCAGCTCTGCAGAAAACAGTGATGTCATCGTCCAGTTCAGTTCTCATACAATGGTGTCAGTACATTCAGATTAATAATATTGTTGAATCTTAAGTGTCCCCAACTAAGCAAGCCAGAGGCGACAGTGGCAAGGAACCCAAACTCCATTGGGTGACAGAAATGGAGAAAAAAAACCTTGGGAGAAACCAGGCTTAGTCGGGGGGCCAATTCTCCTCTGGCCAACCAAAGAACACGGTGTGTTTATAATTCAGGCTGCAAGTCAGATTGTGGATCGGAAGCTTTCAAAATATTTCATCCAGTTCCTTCTGCTTGAAGATCGTTTTCATCAAGCTGGTATGGAGCCGACGCTGGCCATAGGGGTCTGTGCGGAGGACTTGTCTGGTTCTTGGGGTCTTTGCTGAGGATCTGTGCTGATGGCTGTCATATCAACGAGGTCTTCACAAGGAATTGTTCTAGTAGACACGGTCTCTGCTGGCATTCAGGGCTGCGATACTTCCTGGTTCTAGTAAGAACTCAACCAGCTGGAGTTTGTTTATTAAGCGTGCAGGGCAACCACCTAGTAGAGCATTACAATAATCTAGCCCTGAGGTCTTAACTAATTTTTCTGCATTTGTTGAGAGAATATGTTGTAATTTAGATATATTTTTAAGATGGTTTTACAGATGCTAGAAACGTGGCTTTCAAATAAAAGATTGGTATCAAAGAGCACACCCAGGTTCTAGGGGTGGATGGTACACAAGTCACGGTTCGGTTCAGACGTCACGGTTCGGTACGATTTCGGTACAATGGAGTGAAAAGCAAAACAAAAATGCAGAAGGCATTTTTTAAATAGGTTTTATTAAAGGAACACTCCGACTTTTTCGGACTTTAGCTTATTCACTCTATCCCCCAGAGTTAGATAAGTCCATACACACCTTTTTCATCTCCGTGCGTGTTGTAACTCTGTTTGACGCACCCACCGCTAGCCTAGCTTAGCACAAAGACTGGATGTAAATGGCTACAGCTAGCATACCAATCCTAATAAGTGACAAAATAACGCAAACATTTTCCTATTTACATGTTGTGATTTGTATAGTCACAGAGTGTACAAATAACGAGGTCATATGAGACACAGATATCTTTTAACCGTATAAATATTGGTAAGTATATTTTCAGAAGGCGAAGCACTGCTACTTGGGCGGAGTGATTACCGCAGCACCTGAGACGCACCGTGGTGAGGAGCAGAGAGTTCGTTCAGAGTTGGAGTAATAGAGTCAGCAATTACTAGATAGTAAAAGCATAGTTTACAATCATAGGTGTTCGCTGTATTGTAAAGAGCTGCGACAATAAACGGGAGACCAGGTAACACCATAATGTTTCATAGAATTCCAACCAAAAACGCTGACCTGATTAATCAATGGCTAAGTTACTTGCTCTGGATATTGATCCAAACACACCTGAAGAGATCATCAAGGACCATCGTGTTTGCTCAGTACATTTCACTGAGGACGACTATTTAGAAAAAAAAGAATTTGCCACACGGACCATGAAGCGTGTGCTGAAGGATATGGCCATCCCATCGATAGCACAGAACAGGACAAAGTGGAGCGGCTGCGGTAAGTGTCGCGTTATGTTTTTAGATGACTAGCCTACTGTAACAGTGCCATTAGCTGGATCTACTGTAACGTTAATGACACTATTATATGAATACGGTGGTCACTACTATTGCAGTTGTTCCCGGGCTCCATGTATCCCCTGTAATGTTAGTATTGTGTTGTCACGAACGCGCTCTATCGCCCCAGTAACAAATGAGCGGAGCTAGAGGTAAACAAGAAGAAACAACGGTGCTGCGGTTATCACTCCGCCCAAGTAGCTGTGTTCCGCCTTCTGAATATAGTTCCAAATATTTATACTGTTAAAAGATGGCTGTCTCATATGACCTTGTGATTTGTATAGTCACAGAGTGTACAAATAACATGTAAATAGGAAAATGTTTGCGTTATTTTGTCACTTATTAGGATTAGTATGCTAGCTGTAGCCATTTGCGACTGTACACAAAGTAAACACTTAGCAGTTTGAATTATGTCCTGAATGAACAAAATGACGGAGTATGTTTCCACTGTTGGATCTCTCTCTCTCTCTCTCTCTCTCTCTCTCTCTCTCTCTCTCTCTCTCTCTCTCTCTCTCTCTCTCTCTCTCTCTCTCTCTCTCTCTCTCTCTCTCTCTCTCTCTCACATACACACACACAGTTTGATCGCGCGCGCACACACACACACACACTCCAGCATTGCAATCTTGACATCACAGCCTGTTAATTATGCTGCGTTCACACCAAACGCGAATAGAGCAATATTTATCTCTATTTAGAGATTTATTTATTTTTATACCGTGTATTCTCCGTGCATATTCGTACACCGAACCGTGACGAAGACTTGATAGAACAGCCATCAAGTGTTAGACAGTATTCTAGGTTATTACATGCGAAGGTATTCTAGGTTATTACATGCGAAGGTTTTTGTCCAATAATTAAAACCTGTTTTTTTCAGAATTTAGTAGGAAATTACTAGTTATCCAAAAAAAAATTTATCAACTATGCATTCAGTTATTTTGTGAATTGGTATGTTTCGTCAGGGCGTGAAGAAATATAGAGCTGAGTATCATCAGCGTAACTAACGCCAGCAGAGAAAGCTAACGCCATGCTTCCAAATAATATCTCCCAAGGGTAGCATGAACAGGGGAAAAACAACGGTCCTAGTACTGAGCCTTGAGGTACTCCATGAGTGACACCTCTTCATTTACTGATAACGGTCGGATAAATATGATTTAAACATGCCAATGCACTTCCACTAATGCCAACATTATTTGTTTCTATTCTAAATAACGTTGTGGTTGGCACTACGATCCAGTAGCACTAATAGAAAGATACAACCTTGATCGAATAAGAACAAATCATTAGTAACTCTAATAAGAGCAGTCTCAGTACTATGATACGGTCTAAATCCTGACTAGAAATCCTCACAGATATCATTTCTTTCTAAGAAGGAACATAGTCGTGAGGTTACTGCCTTTTCCAGTATTTTTGACAGAAAAGGGAGATTCGGCATCGGCCTGTTCTCTAGGATCAAGTTGTGTGTTTTTTAATGAGAGGTTTAATAATGTCCAGCTTAACAGTTTTTGGTGTGTATTCTAATGGCAATGATGAATTAATAATATTAAGAAGAGGCTCTATGACTTCTGGAAGCCTCTCTTTCAGTAGCTTGGTCGGTATAGGGCCTAACATACTGTACATGTTGATTTTGAAGATTTAACAAGTTTAGACAATTCTTCCTCTCCTATAGCAAAAAATGAATGGAATTTTCAACTTTCTTTAGTGTGTAATGTTGAAAGTTGTGGTTATGTTAAAGGGATGGTTCACTTTGAAATTAATTTGATATGTTTTAGCTTACCTCAAGGGTGTCTTTGTTTCCGCAGAAGTTTCAATTTTGATATTTTTAGGTCAAACCGTTCTTGTCTGTCAGTCATATAATGCAGGTCTATGGTCACCACCTCAAAGAGCATGCACAGAGAAGTCCAAATTAAACATGATTTAATGACTCGTATATGTAAGTACACATTGATGGCCTAAGACACGAAACGAGCGGTTTGTGTGAGAAAACGAACAGTAATTATATCGTTTTTACCTCTTGTAAACACAGCCACGTCCAAGTGATCTGAGGGCGCCGGCGCTTCGGTCTGTGTGTTACAAAAGGGTAAAAACCATATAAATACTGTTCGTTTCGTGTCTTAGGCCATCAATGTGTACTTACATTTACGAGTCATTAAATCATGTTTAATTTGGACTTCTCTGTGCATGCTCTTTGAGGTGGTGACCATAGACCTGCATTATATGACTGACAGACGAGAACGGAAAATGTAAACTTCTACGGAAACAAAGACACCTACAACTTGGATGCCCTTGAGGCATGGGTCGGCAACCCGCGGCTCTAGAGCTGCATGCGGCTCTTAAGCGCCGCCCTAGTGGCTCCCTGGAGCTTTTTCAAAATTTGAAAATGGAAAAAATATTTTTTGTTTTAATATAATTTCTGTAGGAGGAAAAACATGACAAACATTCTAAGTTTTTCAACGTTGTAAAAATGTGTATAATAAATATTTAATTTCAACATTTCTGTCAACGAAGAATTTACGTCATAGACTGTGACACACGTGTCTGTCAGATCGGCGTGATGCCAGACCGGTGGCTGACAAACAAACAAACTAACCGGCGGGTGTGTCATGGGCCGTGGATCCCAAGGGGAAACAGAGAAAGATAGCTGAGCACTCCCAACGCAATAGAGTGCGGCGCGGGACTAGATTTGATGGCCAAGTGCGAGCGCGGGCGCGTGCGGTAATGCACTCACTCTCCTAAAACCAAATAGAAACGATTTACAGGCCAGAATTTCTATTCATAACATGTTTGCAGCGTTGAGCGATATAGCCAATCACAGACATATGTGTTGATTTCTTGAACGCAATGGCCAATGAGAAGCATTTAAGATAGACTCCCCTCACCGCTCTAAACTGACTTTTTTGTTCAGTGCTGAATTCTGTATGCTGGCAGATCCTCTAATTATAACAAACAAAGTGTGGATATTATGAAAGATTCATTGTGCAGTCAGCTTCATTGAGAATAACAGAGATGTGTGAGATCGCGATGAACTGTCAGCTTTTTAGGAATTATTAAGAGAGCGCACTTTGCGCGGATTCAGTCAAACCATGCATGCAGTAAACTGCTTGCTTTTATTTTAAATTAACAGTGGTTTGTGTTTTAATACTTTAATAACACATAATTTATCAGGAGGATGTATGGTGGCGACACGTAGGCTAACTTGAAAGTATTTGGAGGTCCAGAAAAAAAGTTTATTTGCGGGCGGGAGCAGGACAAAAAATAAATGTTGCGGGCGGGAGAAAGAAAGTTGAGAATGTCAGTTATAACGACCCACACATTAAAAAATGGTCGGGTTAAAATCGGGTTCGGGCTCATAATTACGTTTAATGTGTCGGGCCGGGCGTGATTTTTTTGGGCCCGATCTAATTTGTAGCCTAGGCTACTTATCATTTTGATACTAATAAAGCTAATATACCACTTACAGCATGTGTTGCTTTCATTATAAGGCTTATATAAAGCTTTTAATTTTTTGCGGCTCCAGACAGATTTTTTATTTATTTTTTGGGTCCAATATGGCTCTTTCAACATTTTGGGTTGCCGACCCCTGCCTTGAGGTAAGCTAAAACATTTCAAAAATGTATTTCAAAGTGAACTATCCCTTTAAAGGCGGTGACATTTTCAAAACACTAGAAGCGGGTGACCAATCACAACACACTGGTGCAGCCGACCAATCAGAGCATGTTGTGCTTATCTTAAATTTTACTACTTTTGCTAAAATGTCAAATATGTAAAAAAAAAAAAAAAAATCATTTCAAGCATAAAAACCTATTCTAGTAGACCCCAAAAAGAAAATCAAGACTTTGAAAGAGTGCATAATGGGTCCCCTTTAATAATATCACTCTTCTGTTTACCCAGAAATCCCTGAATGATCAGAGAGGCTGTCTGCTGAAGTTCTCCGGTGAATTGGGTCAGACCTCGAGAGAAGATTTTCACACGGTCTTCTCTGATCATGCCCAAATTAAATGGATTGATTTCACCAGAGGAGCAAAAGAGGTGAGAACAGAGACTGTATCACTCTAATGACAACATCATATAAATAAAGTAAATCATTTGATTAATACCTTAAGGATGTCTTTCATTAATTTTGTCTTTGATATCCTCCTCAGGGCACCATTCTGTTTCACTCAAACGCTAAGGATGCCCTGCAGAAAGTCCGCGAGGCTATGGCAGGGGAGGATCCGAAGGTTAAAGACCATGTTGTTCAGTGGGAGATACTTGAGGGAGACGCCGAGATGGAGATGCTGAAGAAAATCATCGAGGATCAGCAGGAGTCCATTAACAGACGCAAACAAGGCAGAGGTAATTCACAGGACACAGTAAAGACACGCACATGTATTTGAACCCATATTATCTCACTTTTTAAAACATTTGCACTTGTTCCACGCCGTATCCTATAATTGCAGGAGGTCACAGGGGTCGTGGAAGAGGCAGGGGAGGCCGCAGAGACCGAGGAGGACGAGAACAGACCCAGTTCAGGGGAAAGAAGACCAAGTTTGATAGTGATGAAGAGGGAGATGAAGGTAAATTAGTGTCACATGTGGGTGTTTTATTTTTAACAAAATAAAATAATATAATTTATTTGGTTTAAATATAATTTCATTACTTTATTATAATTGTTTTATTTATTTTTTTGCAGTACATTTTCTTTACCTCCAAGTTCTCATGCCTAGTAATATTTATAATTTTTTAATATCATTTAGAGGCTTAATTATATTCTATTAGAGATGCACCGATTGATCGGCTGGTGACCGGAATTGGCCGATTTTCACGTGATCGGTCAGTCTGACATATGCCTATTTTATGCCGGTCAAATGCAATCGGGCGCCGCATGATTAACATCGCGTCACACGTGCACGCGGAACGCACATGTAGGAAACCTCGTGAATTACGGTCGTTTCACACCGCAAACGTGAGCAGCGCGTATTATTTCCGGCGTGCATGTTAATCAGTGAGTGCGTTCACACCGCGAGCAGGAGTCTATTTTTGCTGCACTGCTCACGCTCAATTAAAGTGAAAGCACACTTTTGATGGACAAAATAAATATGATTTATCAAAAAAGTGCCCAAAATGCACAGAATTTGCATGTCTGGTGTGTTTTAACAAGAACTGGAGTATATGTCAAAAGAAAATGAATTTTCTTTTTGAAATGATCACATTATTTTAGTTGGATATTGGATGTGAAAAGAAGGAAATGGTTCTTCCATAACACTGCACTTTAGATGTGTGTGAATTTCCCACACCAGGAGTCATTTATATAGCCCTATTTTATAGCGATTACTGTTCAATGCAAAATGTAAAATGTTCAACTAAAGAAAAGAGAGAAAATAAATATTTGTGTGTGCTGTAAAGTGGTTAGAAAAAATGAGAAAATTATAATCGGTGCATCTCTTTATTCTATACTTAAGACAAAGTCTAACATATTTTCATTGTCAAATTTACTATAATAATAATAATTCATCTTATTTTGCACCAAAGTAGAAGTTTATTTAAATAATTTCCACTCTGTTCTGTAGACAACGCTAAAGATGTTCTACGTAATTGTTGTCTTTGCCTTCATGCACTGGATTTGCATGGCTTTTTTTTTTTTTGCACAACTATTTTATTAAGAAGCTAGTTTTTTCCCCATCACCCACAGACTGGTCAAGTGTTGAGTAAATAAATGCTGAGTTTGCTTTAAGTTTGGCTTTAGTCATATGAAAACATAAATGTATTTTCCCCTTCAACAGCACCCGCCAGTCCAAAGAAGAGACCCCTTGATTCGAATGGACAAGATAATGGAGCACCGGTTTCCAAACAAGCAAAAAGCGAGAATGGTTCTTAAGGGCAAAGAGCCGTGGCCTTCATTTTGTACTGTAGATGTTCCCTAAATTCAAGAGATCTGGAAAATGCATTCTCAGACTACTTCCTGTGTCAAAGGCTAAAAGCTGCACAAAAGCTTTACGCCACACTTTACCCTTAAACTCGTCATGAAAAAGGCATCATGCATCAAATTCTTATGGAATTGTTTTCTTTGAACAAACATCCTGGATGCCGGTTATTTATTTGCCATAAACACACGTATGATTTAAGATCTCATAAGCAGCTTTATAAATGTGGCGTTTTCAAAATCTGTTCAGCTTGTTCAACACAGTTTGCTGGTAACGCTTGTGTAACTATTGACATCTTTGTGTGTTCTTTCAGTCCTAGAGCGGTGACAGTCTGATTACTCTGTACCGATTAGTTTTTCAGCTTTATCAAGGAGCTGATTATTGGTTCTGACAGCATTTGTATGCAATACTGTATTATTTTTTAGAAATGTTTGAGGCCTACAAGTAAACTTGTAAGGGTTTGGGAAATGTCTGAATTTTTAGTCTTAATCTAGTTTTTTTTTTTTTTTCATTAACGAAAACCTATTTTCTGCCTGTTAAAAATATTCTTTAATTTCGTCACTTGCACAAACGTAGCACAATAAGTGTGTGGAATCCTTATTTCTTTTTCTTCGTTGCTGTAAAGTTGCTTCAAGTGGTTACAGAGGCATGTAGGTCCAGAGAGTTTTCATTAAGAGTATTTAATTTTGACTGAAGATTTTTTTTAACTCACCTTTTCTTTATCACAGCAACGGAAACATGTCTCTTAATCTAAAGTGCTGTTTTAGATGCCATGCTTCATATTTACCCCTTCAGGGCTTCAACAAGCACTCATTTTTTCCCTTGTTTTTTACTGTATCTCATGTGTTAAGATGAATATTACACACATTTAGAATTTCAATAAAGATCTTGAAAATCAAAACTGTAATATGTGGTTTTACATGGAAAATGGACACTTGATGCAGTAGCTAGTAGGGCTGGGTTAAAAATATCTATTTTTCTATTTTAATCACTCATTTTGATGAAACAAATCGATCTTTTAAAATAAAAAAACTTTGTAGCTCCCATCCAATAAATTGCAATAAAATTTGTACTTTGTTACTTTTGTTACTCCGCTTTCAAACTCTGTCTATTATTATTTAGTTGTGTGAGTGAGTGAAATTCAAACAATAAGTAACGTTTTTGCGCTCTTTAATGTCACGTGACAGATCGCAGTACCTCAGTTCAAGTGAAGCGCACGCGTGACGCAAACCATCTCTTCTGCTTTATATTTACAGCACGGAATAAACCTGAATGGACATCAGAAGGTATGGTGAAAGATACATTGCAATTTACCGAAATCCTTATTCTCGTGTAATTGGTCAGTCAGTGTTTTTATCGCCATAAAGACATCAAGAAACCACTTGTCAACATTAGCCGACTGTGTGAAAGGGGCTAATGTTACTTGTCTCTTACCTCAGAAAATTCATTCAATGTCCATAAACTCGCTAGTTAGCTAAAAAGATTAACTCCAGAGAGGGGCATTTTTCATATTCGTTACATAAAAATACAATCTTTTCCCCTTAAAGGGGTCATATAATGCCATTTTTGTACAAGCAAATATGATTCTTTAGGGTCTAAATTAAAAGTTTGTAATATACTTTAATTAAAAATTCTCATTAGTATTGTAAGAAAACACTTATTTTACCTGGTCAAAAACAGCTGTTTTCAGCACGCCGTTTCAGTGCATATGCCTTTAAATGATAATGAGCTTTGCTCACTCTGCCTCTCTATTCTGTGCGTACACCGTTTGTAACACAATAACCATAACGCGTTGTTCAGTATAGTACTGTAGAAAGAGAGGCCCTGTCCCAAATGGAACCCTAAGCACTCGCGGTCTTCCTCTGAGTCCGCACTTTCGCGACGTAACGCCGCTTTGAATGTCGGGAAGAAGTTTGCTGTGGAGTCCGCATCGGCGCGGGCTCGGCAAAAGTGCGCATCAAGGGCGCAAATCGACCGCAGAGGGGGCGCTCACGAGCAACCTTCTGAGATCTAAAAATGACAAATGGGACACACTGCGGTCTCACGGACTTAACGGACACGCGCACGCGGCAGCCATTGTAAGTCCACAAGACCGAAAGTGCACATGAAGTGTGCCATTTGGGATTGGGCCACAATAACCATAACGCGTTGTTCATTATAAACGTGGGATTATGAATTATATGGAGAACGTCATACATAGAAAACATGCAGTAATGTACCCTGAGTGTAAACCTTGGACTCATTAATCGTGAAGCGATTTGCAAAGATATAAATATTAATATAAAGTTTAATAAAACGTTACACTCACTTCAGTTGTTCTAGAGGTTCAGCAGGAACACGAATATCTGGTACCGATCCTTTATTCAGGAGCAGCTTCTTAGCAAAACCAGCTTTATACTGACCCTCGTTTATAAAGCAGTCTGCTGAGAAATGATTCGCGCAAACATGAGAGCATTGTCGTTGCTCGTGGGGAATATTCCCTTCGAAAACAAACTCAGCCACTGCGTCTTCAGCGGTTCGGATTTAGGAACATTAAAATGACTGTGTTCGTTATTACACCCAAGAACAGAACACCACAATCGCTTAGACGCCATTCTGCTCATAGACAGTGCTCCAGCATATCAACAATGACCGCGCCGGTCCACGCAGACTATGATTGACAGCTGGCTCACGAGCGAGGGCGGGTCTGTGTTGAAACGCTGCTGTCAATCAACAATAGTGGGAGGGGCTTCCGAGCGTGTGACGTCACACGGTCGAACGGCTCGATTTGAGGCAGGGGAAAACATATAAGGAGATTAAAACAAAACCACTGGATGGGTTTTTATCATTATATGATGGTTGTGTACAGACACTGCCAACACACATTTCAGTACAATCAACTTGTAAAAGCGCATGTACCATTATATGACCCCTTTAAATGTCACCGGCCCACAGCCATTACATATTTAAAACGGTATCCTAAAACCCAAACTAATCTTGACAAACTATATATCATTTGAAAGCTTACAATCTCTAGTTTTCGTATTTGGTGACTGATTTTCAATTACAGAGGAGCCGTGTAATTTATCAATTTGCAACAAGAATATTTTCATACTCCGAAGGCGTGTTTATTTTGAAATGGCGAGGAACATGAAAAATCACGAAAGAATGATAGAAACCTCAGTTTGTTTTCATGCCAAGAGTTCAAAAGATAACATCAATTACATTTTTTTTTAAAAAAAGGTCTGAAAATGTTTTAAATATAAAGAAAAAAAATGATAGATTCACCATTTGTGATGTGGCAGCGAGCTATCACGCACATACTTGTTATTTTTATGTGTTTATCAAAATCTGACATGCTTCCCATACTACGAATAGAATGTCTACTTCATAAATTGTATGAAAATTGTGGAAATATATGGTTCAGATGATGATCACAATGGAGTTTGGTTGTCAAGTGAAAAACTTTGGTACTGCGCCCCAAACAAAATCTTACTTAAAAAGCTCATTTTTTGAGATATCAACCTAAAATTTGAAACACAACTTGTTCAGATTTTTGGCTTTGATTTTCTTGCAGTTTTAGAGTCCAACATGTTTTGAAAATATATATTTTATACAAAATATGAATAATACAATTTTTACATTGTACATTTTCATAAACTCAAACTTTTTTTCTTTCACTTTCTTAATTTATTTAATTTCTACAAAAATCTGCCAAATGTCTTGCGTCCATATTCCAAAGCATTCTTGAATTACAACCATTTAAGTTCGTAATGTGCATTTTCATGTCTATTCAAACAAAAACAAAAAAGGGGGGAGGGGTAGGCCTATGTTTGAATAAATCAGTCATGTTTTTGTGACGGCCACCATTTAAATGTTGTTGTTTTTTAAACTAGAAACATAATAGTCATTAAAAAAACAAAAACATTATTATAAAAAGTATTAAAATATTTTGATTTTAAAGCTGCAGTCCGGCATTTTTCCTCTTTGTCGCCATCTCTGTTCGAAATCTGCAATTGCAGTCATTCGCGGAATTATCAACTTTACGTGGGTTGTAGTTCAACACCCTCGACACTGCACAGCGCGGATGAACACAGTGTTTGAGGAGAGTGTGCAGCTGTCAGTCACCGCGCCGATGTGGATATTGTCATTCAGAATCACAGATTATTCTTTTTGGAAGTATGAACAAGTTACAACATAAGAATTTTCACCGGGAAATGTCATCTGAACTAGTAAGAAACATTCACTTTTGTTCTGGTTCTGACATTGCAGTAAATCGCTCTGATTAAATCTAACAATTGCTTATAAGTTATCATTTCACGCAAAACCGTGCAAAGTAGCTATCCTATGTTCTCTAATTGTTAATGTTAACAACGTCAGCAAGCATTGCGTGACTACATCATGTAATGTCCTTCCGATATGTATCCTTGTTTTCGCATGGGTCCGGTTGCAGTCTCTTTTTTTCTGTAGCCACTCCGAAGTCCGAACGAAGTCTTTTGCATTTTACAGCGGGTGAGTCTCTAGTTGTCACTGATGATGATCGTCGTTTGAACCTTTCTGGATCCGCCATCAAATTGATAAGTTTAATTATATCAAGTGCTGTGAGAAAAGGCTATAAATCTCTACCTCCAACATCCTCACACGCAATATAGCTTATACTAGCCGAGACTCCTTCTTTATGTGTACAGATGTCACGTAATGACGCAAAGACATGCTCGAATCTCCCGCGGATATCCACCAGTACCACTAAAATTAAAAACATTATTACAAGCTTACCGTTTTGCATCGAGCTAAGGCAAGCAGATAGTTTTGAACACTGGCTGGTTATGTATTTTATCAAATATGTATTTTGGATAATTTTTAACCCCAAAAAAGCTACGGACAGCAGCTTTAACCTTTAATATTATAGTAATGTACCAAATGCGTTTCCCTGTATACTTTACTTGATAGGCCAGTTGAACCGCAAGTTTGTGAATCGAAATCAAATCGTGAAATCTGTGACGATACCCAGCTCTAGTAGCTAGCCATGCTCGTTTGAACCCTAGTACAGGTGAGTGTTATTAACACTGCATGCAGCAGTATTTATTTTTTAAATGATATTTTAGCAGTTGAACATTTGCAAGCCTTGCACGTCTTGTTTAAATGTTTACAAAACAAGGCAAATATCATAATAACGTCCACCAACTTTATTCAATGAGACTGTTACCCTATTGCACATTTGTTTGTAATTCTATTGCAAATATATGATGTATGTATCCTCCAAGAATTATGCATATAAAGTCATTTCTTTTCATTTGCCTATCATCATTGTTTCAACTACGACCTGTAAAGTCACTTTTAAAAGAATGCCAACCTGCTCTACATTATTATGACCTCCATAAGACTTTACATAGTACATTAAAGTTTTGAAGGGAGTGAGTGTAAAGCTCAATGTCTTTTAGAGGTTAGATTTTCATAAATGTTTTTATTGTGATACCAGCTTGCAACCAGCAGGGGGCGTGATGACTCCTTTTTAGTGTCCAGCACTGCAGTTTTTGCATGCTAAATTCAGGGTTTGCTTTGCTTAGAGGTGGTTGTGCCCTTTAACGTTTTGCTTTTGAGTGAGAATGTCAATTCTACTGTCTGTGTTGTCCCTTTGGCGCAGTGTTGAAAAGCGGGCCAAATCTCCAGTAAATTGGTGTTGATCCTCAGCTTACTGCATCAGCGCATTGCAGTCTCTTGAGCTCGTCCACCATGGTATGTGAGACTCATTTGTTGAGCTTTCTGTTTGAGCAACCTCATACTGTTTGGTCCATATAGATGTTCATTCCACTGTGAAAACCAGTGCGAATGTCAAGAATATAATAGGCTTGGGCCAGTAAGAAACCACCCGCAAATACATAACGCACTAAAACTGCATATTAACAATGCTTTAGCAACCAACTTCAG